CTAGAAGAAGTATCCCGAAGCCCACAAGCCCACCTGATCATCCTCCCAAATGTTAGTCTTCTTCATCGATAGGGACAGGAAGTCCTAATCCCGAGTCCCCATGGAGAATTCTCACGTTGTCTCTGCCGACGGGCGCTTCCTTTCAATCGCCGATAATAATTATTATTTACACCCAAAGCTGGAGCTGGAGCAGGAGCAGGAGCGCAAAAACGTCCTCGCAGCAATCAATCAAGCAGACGCGCTCCAGATCAGTTCCTCATAGATACACCACATAGATGTGTGAGTAGCTGGTAGGTTACAGGTATCTCCGCATATGAGTAGCCTTTGGAAACTCTGGAGGGGATTCGCCGCCAATAGGGCTGTCTAGTATCAGTATCTATATTAATTATAATTTTTAATGAAAGTTCTTAGATGTTTCAAAAAGGGTTTCTTATTCTGTTTATTTGTATTTTTCATTGTTCTTCAGTATTCAGTAACCTTTATTTCTTGTGTAGAGAGTTATGGAAGCCAGGAAAGTCAGGCACACACGTCAGCAATGCCCAACCCCCGGCTGGAGGCCTCCGCTACTGCCACTGCCGATTATGAGATGATTGCTTAAGATGACAACGAGCAGACTGAGGAGCTGGAGCTGGAGCTGCGGCTGGAAGAGTGATATACACAGGCAGGAATGCCCCAATGCGAGTGGCAGCAATAAAAATGACGTTCCAGATTATTGCACACTCGGCACGGAACGACAGCGACAGCAGCAGCAGGAAGGAGGAGCTGGAGCTGGAGCTGGAGATGGAGGAGCAGACAGAGCAGAAACAGAATCTGACGTGTTCCCGAAGCTGACTCTGCTTACGCGCTTTTCAAGTTCCACACATAGCTGCTGTCATTATTAAAGACATTTTCAACTACATTCTAGTAGGTACTTAATTTCCCTCGAAACAAGAGGCCTCCCTGACAGGCAGCGGCGGCGGCGGCAAAAAACGAGTGGGGCGGGGAGATGCCACCTCACACGAGCTGCTGATTGGATTGCCGAGGGCTTTGTGTCAACCCGGGCTAAGCCCCGTCCGTGTCACAAAGGATCCTTGCGCCCTCGGACAATGCTAAGTAGGAGTAAGTGCAGCCATCCAGAGGGGCTGCGAAAAAAATTGATGAGTTAATTAACGCGCATCGCCAACATTCCGTTCGACTAATAACTAACTTGTAGACGACGGCCGGCAATGGAGGATGCCTCGCGATGGAAACGCTGAGAGCTCTAAAAGGGGCATGGGCGCAGAGGCTGGACGGACGTGGGACGTGGGACATGGGACAGCCATATTTATGAGCATGGCTTCGCTCAGTTGTCGATATGGCACTTCAATGTCAGTTGTTCATCATCGTCTCATCGGAGTGCGGATGATCATTGCCGGCAGAGGCAGAGGCAGAGGCAGAGGATCGGGCTCAGGGAGTATCATGACTGAAATGCGTTCTTTAATTGAGTTTTGCGTTGCATTTGTGCAACTGCAACTGCGACTGCGGACTCTTTATGGCCATCCATGGTGCGGCGGCGAGAAGCAGAAGAATCCGCACAGTGGCATTGGCCGGGCAACGTGGCATATGATCACACAACCATTAAATATGATGAAGACTGTCAAGGTGGATGAGAGCTAGAGAGCTAGAGATGGTACCATCGGCTGTAAGTGGCTTCTAGGCTTTGACTTATGCACTTTGACCTTCTTAATCACTCTTCCCAAGCTTGTATCAAGCTTATGTTATGTAAGGATCTATAGTATTGGATCACGCTGGAAGCCTCATCTCCAGGCAAGTGCTGTCGTCGGGTGCTGGCATTTATGACGCATTTTCTCATCGCGAGGCAAACACAAACATCCGCAGGCCCCACCAAAGGAAAAACAGAGAATCCCAGCTCGGAGACGACGATGGAGGCTAGCCTCCAAGAAGCCAAGAAAAAGCTCCCTGGGGCCATTACGCATACTTTGAGCCGCGGAGTTGATTTTCTCATTTGAACAAGGCTGCTCTGTCCTGAATAGTATGCCACTGATCATTATCAATGATCTGGCATTGCATTGCATTCCCATTGAGCTCGCTGGCACTGGCAGTTACAGTTTTCGACCAGGATGAGGATAACTCTTGGCCATCGCCTCCTACCGGCGAGTCCTCCCTCCTCTTCGGGATCGTTGACCACGTTGATTGATTACTTTGGTGCCCGGCACGTTCCGAGGTGGCTGCCTCGCCTGGGATGATTAAAAACGTTTTCCTCTTCCTAAGTTATTAGCTGCAGATTCACTAGCCAAAGTCAATTGTTGTGGCTCTTATTGGCCATAATTTTCGCCTGAGGTTTCTCCCCGATTGCTTTTTGGTGTGAAAATGATGTATGTGGCTCTGCGGTTGGTTTCGGTTTCGGTTTCAGTATTGACTCCCCCCCAGCTCTGCTTTATGGCATTACTCCAGCGATGAGCCTCGAAATTGGCGGCGGTTACTTTGACTTCTTAGTACCTCTCCTGCCAGCTTCTAGGATGTGTCTATTGTGATGCTGGTAATTGCTTATTCTGACCATCATTGTGGAAATTCTGGGGCAGAAGAGGCGTCTGGTCTAATAATGGGGCCTCGAGGAGAGTTCCACAAAAACATACAACTTCCCTTAGGATGCGGCTGCAACATTATGTCACTGGGACTGCATTGTTCCTCCCTATGTTGCAGGCTGCTTTGTTGCCACTGTCAGGTATCATTCACTCAACGGCCCAGTCCGAATGCCTTCGCAGAAATTCGACTCCATGCAAATGAGGCTGAGTGATGGCCTCGGCCTGGACAGGATGTGTCTCTCTCAAGGTAATGCTCGCCCCCTCCCCGGCCGCCTCCTCAGTGGACACTGACACCTCCTCGAGGCAGGAGGCGCCTTTCTCTTTCCCACACCTGCCGCACAAATTTGAAATGAAATATTTTCGATTCTGCTGTCAACATTGGTTTGGCTGACAACACATTAGCAACTGGCTGTGGCTGCGGCTGTGGCGGTGTTGCTGTTTCTGTTGCAGCAACAATATGTCGCCGCCGTTTGTGGCGACATCACATCGGTACCAGGACGTTGCGCATGCGCCGCACGATTTGCAATTTGCAGCTAATTGAACGCGTGCGCAGGCGCAGTTAGTTATCGACTCTCACGCTTCCCAGCCCCCTCCCCGGTGGATGGGACGCCCGCCCCCAGCACCCTCAACCATCCCCCCATATCGTTTCCCACAGCAAGCGCCATTCGCAGGCGACAAATGGAGAACGACACACAAATGCCTCATGCACGGTAACCTGAAACTGGAGGCGAGGCGCAGACTGGATTCAGCATAGAGCTGGACGAATCTCAATTCTGGCTATTGGCCGGGCCAGTAGCACCCGTTAACGGTGCTGACAGTCGAAGCAGTGGGTGGTGTGGCAGCCTGCGAGTTAGATACTCCGATCTGTGTGTGTTTGGAAGGATTGCGGGAGGAGAACGATGGAAGAGTCGATGATTTAAATATTAAATATGGCTGTGAGTTCCATCCGTTTCTAAACAAATGCACATATGGGGCTTGTTGCTTTTTTGTCAAACACCGCCCGCAGAGTGCTCATGTTCCTTCTGTTTCGATCTCCAAGCCCCCAGCCCCCAGCTACCCGTGTCACCCGAGGTAGAGCCGCCGCACTTGTTTATGTCCGAGTCCGGTAGCTTTGTTTCGGTTGGCCCCTTTATTTATCTCTCCCCAGCCGTAAAGAACGGAAAACAATCTGCAATATGTTTATGCATTTCTCGTGGCTGCTGCGGAGACTCTGCGGTGGGAGCGGTGGGGGCAGGGACCCAACAATGGCTGTTGGCTTTGGCCTCTGGAATGTAGCTCCATTAAATGGTAAGCCCAGTGCCCGCTTCGTTACTCGTTTCTGCTGCTGCCGTTTTGTTTTTGTCGCTCTTGATTAGCAATTTAATTGATTTGAAGGCGGCAATTTGTCTCTCTGTCCTGAGTTGGCCTGCACCCCAGTCCATGTCACACGATATGATACTCCATGCCCAAAAAGAGTGGCTGAAGTCTAAGAATTGGAGGAACCGACCTGCTGACTTTTTATGCGCTCCTCTCCGTGGGTGGAGCCAAACTTTCTATACAAATCTCGACTCCGATTTGACTAAACTTTTATCGCTCCTGTTTGGTTTGGAGAATGTGCAACTGAGCTTTCCCAGGTCCCATCCCAGCTTCGATTTCGGTTTCCGTTCCCGTTGTATTATTAGCTACACGGAGCCAAAGAGTGTGCTCCTAAAGGCCTTTAAATCTAGCCAAGTCCGAGTCTGAGCCCGGAATTAGTTCGGGTTTCTTCTCAGTGCTGCTGCCGTTGCAGTTGCAGTGGCTACTGCTGCTAGTCGCAGGTGTCCGCCATTTGGGCATTGATTTATGCAGTGGCCGGGCATTAGAAAGGTCGTTCACAGTTGTCGTCGCCAGCAGTCGTGATTCAGAGCGGCGGGCGGAGACGGAGGAAGGGTCCAGCCCGGAGGAGATAGCGGGGAGAGATACCACTGGCACTGGCACTCACTCGGCTCTGAGCCAACGTCTTAATTAGGTTTCTGCCGAAAAGTGCCGAAATTTTCGGCTAATGCCCGTCTTGCCACGCCCACAAGACAATGTCGCTGACCCACATACTGCTTCCGCCCCCTCCAAAGCCCTGCTCCTCGGGATGCTCCAGTTCTGAGGTCTTTCTCGTTCTGCTTGCGGGATTATAAATGACATGGCATTAGTCTCGGCCAGGTTAATGTGCGTCGTTCCAGGCCCATCTCCGCAGTGGTTCATTAGTGGGGGACAGGGTGAAGAGAGTTCCTTGAAATACAGTTTCATGGGCCTACGCAAATGTGGGTCTTCCAAAAGCGAGGATACACCATGGAACATTGTGGAGTCCGGTACTATCCATTTGTTCTAATCCTTAGAGGATTTTCAGATGGAACTACACAAGTAAATATTTATCAAGAAACCACTTTTAGAAAAACTTATATTTAAATCTTAAAAAAAGAAACCTACTTTTAAAATTAAACATTTAAAAATCAATTAAAAGTCCACTTATACAATAATTATTTTCCGCTTAATCTAAAAAGCTTCTGGAAACGGTGCCATCTGCCTTTTGTTGTCTGAGCTTCTCTTGATGCTTGATGGTGACCTCCAGAAATTTAAGGTATTCCTCGTCGATGGGTTCAGTCTCATCCTCTGAGGAGGAGCTCTCATACACGTAGTCCAGGTGGGAAGACGCCAGAACCTCGTGATTCTCCGCCTGCTCCTCCTCCGGCTGACTGCCTGGACACAGCCTAAGGACCTGGTTGCGGTGCCACTCCACCAGACTCCTGTAGGTGCTGATCCACATTTGGTTCTGATCCTCCGTTCGCTTCAGTGACAAGTTTGTTGGGCTGGGTTTGCTCCTCCTCCTCCGGCGACGACGGCGCTGTTCGCTTCTGCTCCTGCCCCGCTTCCTAGCCATCTCCTTCTGGACCTATCCTCGCTAAGGATTATACCACGTCCCAGGGAACAACAAACAAACAATAGCCCACTAAGCGCTGTCAACTGTTGCCACTCCACCAAGTAGACAGTTCCCAAAGCGAGCTGCCAGACGATTGCAAGAAACAGCTGATAAAAAGGAGCTGCCCATATGGAAAGCCAAAATCAACACATAGATGGCGCCACTTTTCCCAGAAATGAACTGCGCAAACAAAACAAATCAATACTAGATGGCGCCATGAAAAAAACTTTAAAAAATACCAGTCGAATATACCAACAAAAAAATTAATTAAAAATGAAAATTAGGAATTAAAATAATTTCTTTTCTGATTGAACACACTACCTTTAAATGCCTTTTTTTTAACTTAAGCCCAGCCCTAAATTCCAACTTTAATACAACTTCCTAATTTAAAATACCTTCTTTAATAAGTTAGCCCTGGTTTAAGGATACCTCCAACTGACTTCCACCTTGATCGTCGTGGTCAAAGGGCAAGCGCAAAGCCGAAAGCCGGAGATGAAGCAGAAGCCAAGCCGGATCCAGGCCAAGCCAAGCCGGATCCAGAGCCAATCCCAGCCAGAAGCCTACAAAAAGGCAGTGGAAAAAGAAGTCGGGCCCTCGGCCAAGTGTTTTTCTTTCAAATTAAAATCCCGTGCTTACAACTGGGTAGAGCGCTCCCGAAGGATCCGATCCGAAAGAGTTCAAAGGCCGACCTGCGATCTGGAAATCGAGCTGAAGCTGGGATTAGGGCGGATCAATTTGGCTGTGGTGCGAATGCAAATTGGCCAGCGGTACGATTTAAATGAGGCTCAGCACAAGGCGGCCAAACAAAGGCCGGACTTAATATACATATCTGCGTAGGACGAGTGCGTGGATGTCCTGCTGGGCCGGAACAATACGTCCTGGAACAGGAACAGGACGGGCGCAGCCCTGCCACTTTACCTGCCCGGCAGCAAATAAAGGAAAATTAGGTTTACACCTTCCTGCCCAATATGTTCATAAAACAATTTAGAGATTTACGAGAAGATCACTTCGAATGTCGTCCGCAGTAGCTGGCATGTATCCTGCCTCCCTTTCCGGCTGCTCTTTCCGGGCGAACTGGGTGTGTGTTTGTATTGCGGTTTTAGCCATCGAAAATGGCGCGTGGTTATGGTTATGGATATGGATATGGATATAGATGTCCATCATCCCCGGCGCATCCCTTGCCGCTTCGCGTGCCACTTCACACATGTTTACTTTGGCAACTTGCGTGAGTGGGGCATGGGGATGGGGAGGGCAGGGGGTGGCAGCTTTTCATTTCCGATGAAGTAATATGCGTTCTGATACGAAAAACATCCTGCGGCTGGGATTTGCACGCACTTATTCCCTTTTAATGGACTCGGCCAGCCGTTTTTTGCTGAATTTTTTGTCATCTTTTTCCACGCACATCCACGCTTTGGAAAGATTACTTTTAGGGGGTGGGGGGCTAGTTCTGATCCTGTGGAGCTAGTTTCCTTAGACTCCAGGCTCTCCTTCGCCGTACAGGATGTGATAAACATGCGGTAATTTTTTGGGCTGAGTAGGAGGTAACATCCTATTACTTTTTAGTCCCGAATCTGGTTCCCTTTTGGACACCACAATGCCTCGCCTCGGGGAGCCAAGAAATTGCTTTTCGCTTAAGCTACATTAAGGACCATTTGCATTTTCACGGCCCACAAATAGCTGGCTGGCCGCAGGACAGCAGGACAATCAGCAGCAATCCTTCAGAACCGAGGATGGGAGGTTCGCCTGGACAGGTACCAGAGTACCAGCACAATACTCTATCTCTACCGCGTGGGATCCTAATTCTTGAGCACGGGATCAGGATACTAAGCCCGAGACCAGCGAAAAGGGTAGAAAGGGTACGGGGTCAGGACAGAAAGGGATAGGGTCGAGGCAGGACAAGTTAGTAACTCTCATTACTTTAAATGGATTTCAATTAAGTTGCAAATTGATCTCGAAAACAATTGAGTCCTGCCGAGGCGTTTGAGTGGTTCGGGCTTAGTGCTTTCTCGCAGGCGGGACCCGGGGATAAAAACTCTAGATGGCCTGCTGCACAAAGGCTGGCTTCCACAATGGGCCTGCCTGCCCGCGCTTGATCCGCTCGCGGTCGCTTTTCCCACTCCTACGCTTGTAGGCCAGGAATTAGGAGGAAAATAAGTTCTCGAATAAGAGGCCTGCTCTTTTCATTCATGGGTGCTCAGGAAAGTACGTCTTTTAGAGAAAGGATTTCAGATATCAGAAATAATATTTTTTATTTAAAAATACAAGAATTAGATTCTCTCCCAGAATGACAAAGGCTACTCCTTTCAGAGTCCTTCCTATCATCTGATTTCCTAAAGTAAGCGATACGGGAGCTGCAGCTGCCGAAGTACTCCACTTTGCACCCGTCTCCCCCACTTTCCCAGCCCAGGCCAACTCATGAGTGACTGGCAGTTTTCCCAGCCGGGCTTGGAGTGCCAGCAGTCCTGCCGCTGACAGGATAACGAGATTTTTCAAGTGGCCCTCCACTTCACACCCTTCTATTCAGATGTGCGGAGGAATCAGATGCCCCGATATCTCAATTTAGTCTTAACAGATTTCTCTCGCAATTAGTCCGGCAGGAAATGGAAAATGCGCAAATAACGATTTTCCGAGGACTTGGGCACGGACAACGGAGTAATTGCAGGTTCGGGCTAGTGGTGGACTACAATGCAGCCAGGATGCCAGGATCAGGGCAATCAAATGCGCATCACCGATTACCGCAAAAACAAAGGCACGAAAGGAACAGTTTGTGGAAGGTGAAAGGAGAAAGCATTTCTTTGCGGAGCGGGGCATGTAAGCCCAAAACGAAAAAAATGAGCACAAAACAGAGAGATCGCAGGGGGGAGGGGGACTGTTTTCCATTTCACTCACTCTGTTGCCATACAACAGGGCTAATCCCGGCTGAGCCTTGTTGCGATTTGCTACGGTCAATTGAAAAGCGGCCGGGAAAACGATCAACCGAGCGATCAGGATCCAGCTCGGGGACCCTGAACCGGGCCTCGCCACCAACGCCAGCAGCTTTGTTGTTCTTTGTTTTTTGTGCCCGGGCCTCGAGACAACACTGCAAATATATACACACAGGGAGCTCCGGATAACAAGGAATCTGAGAGCGAGATTGAGGCTGAGACTGGGACTGATGAGACGACTGGCCAGAGCGACATGGAGGAAAACAAACACGCCAGTTGGCAGTCTGCAGATGCACTTGGAGAAACTGGCGCGACCTGACAGTCAACTTCAAATCAAATCCATGAGAGCCCATCCTCCTGATAGGATATCACCTTGGAGTTACCATCGAAGTTTCTTTAAAGGCTTACGTACCATGCATTGTAGGAGTAGCTAGTTCTAACACCTAGTCCCTTCTTTTAGTGCCCTCCATTCTTGATGACTACTTTTTTCGCCTTTGGAATCCTTTCATTGGTTTGTTTCCATTTCCTTTCCGGGATTTGTTTGTTTGCCAATTTGTTTGGCTTTGTCTAAGGTGACGGGAGCCTTGAACCCGCGCAAAAAATCCAAAAAACGGCCGGAGATGGAGACGGATTCTGGCAACAATCACAGTATTTTAATTTCCCAGATTTGCCAAGAAAGAGTTAAGGCAAACAACGACCCAAAAGGTCAAAAGGGGCAAGGAAACTCGGCTAATTAATTGAGTTGAAGTAATTTTGGTGAAGAACAAAAGTTCTTGCAAATGGGATTGCCTTTTTCCACTCTCCGCCAGCTACGCCTCCTGGATGGATATTTATGTTGGCTTTCCCAAATATTTGTCGAACCACTTCCGCTCCCCTTCGAGTATCCTTCCACCTACATGCCCTCAAAATATCCCTAGGCCTCATAATTTACATTTTTAATTGCGCTCCAAATCAACACGAGATATATGAAGACCTTACGAGGGAAAGTGCTTCCGTTTTCATTACATATTTCGGTATATTTCAGACCATTATGGGAGTAACTAGCTCTGAATAGGACTAGCTAGGATTTAAATAGTAACTACTGTTGTTTGCGATTTTATAGTATTATTCCGACATTCGGGTAGTGTTCCAAACCCACATCCAATATCAAATAAAGGAGGTTGCCCAAAAGCCCAAACCCAAATAGGAGAAAGAACAAGGTCCTGACCAAAGTGTGGCCTTGTTTACGCAAATGGGAACCCAAACCCTGCAAGGACAGCTGCATCCCCGGCATCCCTCCGCTTCCCTCTCGCTCTGGCTCTGGCTCTGGCTCACTCCCTTCCGATCGGCGACCATTTTGGGTTTCGACTCACGCCCTGCCCCGCTCATTCATCCGCACGGGCCCTCGGTTTTATTGCACCTTTTGTCTCCATGCGTGTATCCTTCTCGCTCCCATCCCTCGCCGCTCTCTCTCTCTCCCTGCGAGAAGGATCCGCCATCGTCCTCCCTTTCCCACCATGCGTAATCGAAGCAATTTGCACGCTTACGCATAAAGCAAGATTAAACTTATCCTGATCCCTGAGCTGACTGATCCCTTGATGCGCCCGCCATTGCGTCCCATCGGTACACTGAGGTCCTATACTCAGTACTATGCCTATAAATCCTTATAATTCTTATATCTGATATATATCTGCTATTAATGGTGCTTTGAATTTCTCTCCGTGTATCCTGCGCTGGCTGAGATCAGCCTCTGAAACCAAATGAAGCCAACTGTGCGACGCATAAAACGATATTTGGATTAAACATTTAATTGACTGCTCAGGGAAACCGGTGTTACCATATCATAGTATGCGTAGCTCATAGAGAGAGCGATCCCGTTGCTGTACCATTCGAGTTCCGGGGGTTGCTGCTGGCGGGGATTAGAGGCCTATTCCGATGTCGAGTCGGGCGTTCATTAACATATCAATGTCAGCAGCAGGCGACGGACGCCTCAGCCTCAACCTCAGAGCCAGAGCCAGCCGGGCAGTTTCAAATCCTCATCTCCTGGATTTAGCTCCTGAATCTGATTCTGATTCCGATTCTGGTGCGGATTCTGCTGCTGATGCTGATTTCGATTTGGCTTCTCGAAGAAATTCGCTTAAATTTTTAACAAGACAAATACCCAGAGCACACGCCATCCCATTCCGCCTCCATTTCTCGCAGCTCTGCGAGCTTGTTTTCCTACTTCTAGGAACCGGAATGGGGGCGAAGGATAGGGCAAGGAAGGGCCAGTCCTCCAGAAAGGAGGAGAAAGCGTAGGAAACTTTTCTAATTTTGCACAACTGGAAACCGTTGCCGCGGGCCTTGAAAAAGAAATGGCAACACGAAATCAAAATAAAAACCATCAGCAGTCAAGAAAAAGTATCGGAAAAAGAAGGACGCCGATGGTTTCCTTCCCCACATAACCACATCCCCACTTCCCGGACCACCCACCAATTCCCAGTGCTCAAATGGAAAAGTAGAAAAACCTTTTATTCCACAATGTTTGCTTAGTCCTTTGCCAATTGAACTTTTTCGCGCAGCCAATCGAGGAGAGGATGAGGAGGAAGGCAGGAGAAGGTAAACCAAATACTTAACGAGTGAAATTATTTTCGTATTTAAAATTCAATCTGCGAACTAAAACAATCATTTTAGATGGAACACTAAAAAAACAGCAGAAATAGGACGCAGTGCAGCTCAACTTTTGGGCTTAGCGAGCGCACTCCCAGCCCTGCTGGTCCAGGACTCTCCATTTACTTTTCCCGTCGGGAGTCTCGTCGTCGGTCGTCCATGTAAGAAGTTCAGAGCAAATGTAAATAGAGAGGTTAGCCAAAGGGGGCCGGAGTGGAGGTGAGTGGGAGGGATTGGGAAAACAAAGGGCGAACAAAGTGTCCTGGCCCTTGCTTCCTCGACCTGCTTAATTATTCAATAATTTCTAAAAGCATTTGGCCACATCGTCATCAGACGTCATCGGACCTCATCCTTTCATCCTGTGAGGCGAACGGCAGTCCTGCATGCGGCAGTCCTTCAATCCCCCGTAATTAGTTGGATACATACTCACACACAGGCGTGTGTGCAGGAGCACACTCCCATTTCTACATTTATGTAAGCTTCTCCCCCTCCGGTCCTGTCCCCAAATATTGCACAGAAAATAATTCTAAGCTGGAGCTCTACTAGCTCTTTTAAAGGTGATATAGTGGGGACGACCCTTGGTCCACTTTCCTAAGCTGCTGAGGGGTCTATAACTTCAGAGTTCCGACCTTAGTGTATAATTTTAGGAGTTATCCTCCAGTTTCTGCCAGTGTCCTCCGTTCTTCCCAGTACTAGCTCCTGTGTGGGTGACATGGTGGGGACTTTTCACTTCGTTCACTGCTCCAAGCTGCCCTCGTGTGTGTGGATTGGAAGAGTTGCATTTATCATTAGTCGAAGCTTAGCTTTTGTTTTCCTGCAATTCGGGGGAGTGGCCGAGAGAGGCCTGGAGGCCACTGGGGATTTTGCACTTGGGCATGTTTGATGTGGAAACTTTAGATTAAAATATTTTCATATGCGCCCGCACGGGGCGGAACAATGGCACTGCGAGCGTCAACAGATGCGTGAATACATTGGAGCTGCTTGACCACATCCTCGGAAGCTCGCATCTTATGTACTGGCATCCATTAACCTTTGCCCCCGGGGAAGGAGGGGAAGGATCAGTGGGCGAGAAGAAAGAGAAGGAAGAGCGCATCTCCGTGGGCGGATTGAGCGCATAATGATGTTTATGTGTTGCCAAAAACATAAAAGCATTAATTTAGTCATTATCTTCTTAAGATACGACGCCGGCAGAGGCTACAGCGTGAGGAGCGGAGTAGCTGAGGCTCCCGGGAGCAGAGCTACTGGAGAAGAGAAAAGCTCGCCCTTCCGCCCCCTCATCATTACAAAGGGGGGGAGGGATTTTTCGCGTTGGTAGGTGGCAACAGAGACAGCCTGCTGCTGCATCTCTTTCTGGCCCTCACCTTGTGTCTTTCTCCAGCGGCTTCCGTCTCGCTCTTTCTCCCGGGCCGCAGGGTCCTTCAGTGATGACTTTATCTGTATAAATAACTGTCAGTAGCCAAGAGGGGGAGGGGAGAGCGAAAAAGAAGAACGGAACCGGCGAAGAATAGAACGGGTGGGGGGCGCCACGCGGGGCGCACTATCTGCGAAGCGCCATCTTATCCCGGACCTCCTGGCAACGCTAAACCGGGGGAATAGCATGGGGCGACACCTCCATCAACCACCAACAAACATCCCAAGAGCCGCAGAACGAGACGGTGAGAGTGGGAGCTGGCCTAGAGGGAGAAAGAGAGAGAGAGAGAGAGCCAGGGCAGAGAGCGTCGAAGAACATGGTAGCGTCGGAGGCGTGGCCACCCTCGAATGCCATTGGCCGGAGACCAAAAATGTCTGCCGTGCGAGAGAGGCCTGCGATGTATCCGTCAGTGCGCGAGACTGCCTCTGTATCTGTATCTGTGAAGCACTGTATCTGGCCTGACGACGACTCGACAACTTGTCGTGCGGCACACTCTCATAACAGTTTCGCAGCTCGGGCGGACAGGAAGGGTTCCGGTATCAGAAAACCTGTGAGAATCAGCAGAAAACCTCGCTGCGAGTCTAATGCGATTTCAGTGCACCAAAGACGTGTCGATAAGCCCGAAAGTTCCAATAATCTGATTTTAAGACTGTCTCGTAATACTCTCTGCGTTCCCGAAGAAAGACTACAATAAGTACAAGCCAAGTGACACTTTTTCCGACTCCAGTTCTAAGTTAAGCCTTCAAGATTCTGTCCTCACTGTGGACCCCAGCAACGCTGGCAGGCGGCGCCCCCAGCGGAGGAGGAGGTGGCGGCCAGAACAGCACCACCACCACCCCGAGCACCACCCCAGACATACCGTCGTCCAAGGCGAAGTTCAAAATCACCGTCGTAAGCACGCCCAGCCCCTCGCCACCCCCGACGCCCCCGCCCTCGAACTCCCTGCTGGCCCAAATGGTCGAGACCAGCTCACCGCCGGCGGGCTTCACGCTCAAGAGGTGCCCCAGTGATCTCGGGGAGCAGCAGCAGCCGCCTAGACAGATGTCCCGATCTCCCGGCAACTCGGCCGCCTACCATCTGACCACTGCCATGCTCCTCAACTCGCAGCAGTGCGGCTACTTGGGACAGCGCCTGCAGTCGGTCCTCCAGCAGCAGCAGCAGCACGCCCACCAGCAATCCCAGTCACAAACGCCCTCCTCCGACGACGGCAGTCAGTCGGGAGCCACAATCCTCGAGGAGGAGCGGAGAGGAGGAGCTGCGTCGGCAGCCGCGGCATCTCTATTCACCATTGACAGCATTCTGGGATCGAGACAGGCCGGCTCTTCCGCAGGACGGAGCAGCCACAACTGCAGCAGTGGCAATAGCCACCAGAATGGACTGCCCCCGAACGGCATCAGCTTGGGCCTGAAACGGAACGGAGCCGACTCACCCGCCTCGCCCAATTCCAACTCCAGCTCCAGTGCCGCCGCCAGTCCGATCCGACCGCAGAGGGTTCCTGCCATGCTGCAGCATCCCGGCTTGCACCTGGGTCACTTGGCGGCGGCGGCGGCGAGTGGATTTGCCGCGTCCCCTTCGGACTTTCTGGGTAAGTAGCCACATGATTTTTTAAAAGGGTAGAGGTAAGAGGGAGATTCTATCAAAGATTCAAAAGTATTTCTAAAATCTAAACACCTTACGAAGAGTCTAATATGTAGAGTTTATCGAACCACCCCACCAACTCATACACTTTAAAGTCCCTCATCCGAAACTCATCCTCCAAAGAGCCCTGAATGGCATTATTCATAATTAGGCAATGATCCGGAAAAGATGATTCTGCATCTCCCTTCTATTCCCGTTCGATTTTGCGGTGAGAGGATTTGCATTTGGGGTCTAAGGTCGCAGATGGGAGTGGAGAAAGTGGAAGGGCTCGTGGTGGTGGCTTCCCTGTAAGGTTCACCGACTTGCGTTAATTCGAGCGTGGCTTTCAGGCAGAGATTTATGCAGAAAACCTCTTAAATTCATTCAAAGGCTCCCCGCAGGACATGAATATTAAAAGCATTGGGTGAGCTTTTTTTCCGGCAGCACTCGCGGCACCCGGAAGTGGAAGCCGCTCATATGGGTGCGCCTGGGTTCCAGCCGGTAGAGTTTTTAATCACCAAGGATCCCTCCAGAACCAGAAATCATGTTATGCATGTGAATTTTGAATAAAAAAGTTCCCCCATGACTCGGAAGCCAACATGGCGGCAGTTTCGTTTTCCACGTTTCTGTGCATTTTTGAGGATTTATTCAGGATATTATAACACACCCTCCAAGTAGCTATGTTCTTCTTTTTTATAAAAAAATGTTTACTTTCTCGCTTGCAGTCGCGTATCCCAACTTTTATCCCAACTACATGCACGCGGCAGCGGTGGCCCACGTGGCGGCCGCTCAGATGCAGGCGCATGTGAGTGGAGCAGCCGCGGGACTCGCGGGTCACGGACACCACCCTCACCACCCCCACGCACACCCACACCACCCCCACCTGGGAGGCCACCACCACGGACCCGGGCAGCACCACCTGGGACACCTCGGCCACGGGCCGCCGCCCAAGAGAAAGCGTCGCCACCGCACGATCTTCACGGAGGAGCAGCTCGAGCAGCTGGAGGCCACCTTCGACAAGACCCACTACCCGGACGTGGTGCTCAGGGAGCAACTGGCCCTGAAGGTCGACCTCAAGGAGGAGCGGGTTGAGGTGAGTTTCGAAGCTGGGGATAATAGTTTTAAGGCCTCTTTCTATTAAATTAGAACACTCTCGCTGCCCTCTGCCCCTGACTTGCTCCAATTTCACGCTCGTTTAAATTCCCCGCGTGAAACCAATCGAGTGCTGAGAGTCCCCGGCATCTGCAGCTCATCTCTCCCCTTGAGAACTTCCCGCTGTTTATTTAGATGTCAGTGGCGAGCAGTTTGCCGGCTTCATCTGCCTCCTCGCAAAGCAAAACAATGGGAATCCGAGTGATTCACTTAATTTGGGTAATGGGACTCGAGATACAACCGCAGGATGGGTATTTGCCCGATTGTGATTCCGATTCCGATTCTGGGTGTGCCCGTTCGTATCATTGGTAATGTAAATACATATTCCGCCTCTCCTCGCAAATCCCACCCCGGGGCTGGCCTCGGGACAAACATCCCCCTGGATCGGCCCAAATCGCTCTGAGCCTGAAACGAAGGAATCTCGACAATTTGGATTCAAAGTCCATTAGTGTCGAGGAAACCCAACAACAAACAAACAAATCGAGAGGTCACCGAGGGCGGGGTGACGACAAAAGTTGACAATTTAATTTGTTCCCAATTTGTGTTTGAAATCAGAGGGTGTGATCGCAGCTTTTGGGCATTGGCAAGCGTCTTTTACAGGGATTAGCGGCGCTATTCCGAGACTCCGGTGTTGGTGTTTCCCGACAATATGTTTGTCAACCGGCCGAATGTTTAATCTGCCCGCCTCAACCCCTTCAACCTGCACCCTTCCAAGGCGGAAGGCGGAAGGCGGACAAGTGCGACATTTGTTGACATGGGCGGGGTTCTGTTTAGGCATCGGCTTAAGACAACTTACCCATTAGCATCACCAACCATTAGGACACACGGTTGGGAGGGCGGGGGATAATCAACTGCGTTACATAACCCGGGGAAAAGTTGACACCGACACCGGTGCTCTGATTAGGCGACAAACTTAGCCCGCGGCCGAGAACACGCCTGCTAAGCGGATTAACCTAAAAATATGTGATTTCGGAAAATCATTTGAAAACATTTTAACTAATTGGAAAAGGAAAGGGTACCCAGATCTGCTGGCTCACTGGGGGACTAATTAACATACAAGCACACAAAGAGAGACTTCAAACTTGTCTCTGACAAGCAAAGTGGATGAGGAAAGAAACTGGTTGGACAAATGGTCGGAAATGGAGAAAGAGCCCCTCCGACTGCCTTTGCCACTGCCACTACCTCTGCCACTGGCTGAAATCCCCAACAAATCTTTCGCCTCGTCATCACTCGTCATTGAGTTAAGCATAATCAACTTCAGCACTGGCTTCCAGCTCGGAGACCAGCTTTTGTGACTGCTACTGTTTAGCATATTTGCATGCCAAGAGCTGCCACTCGAGACCCTCTCGGCCCCACCCCCCTCTCGGAGAGGCGTCCGCTGCGGAGGAGCGCTCTAAGACCCCAGTCGATCCGTAAGTGGCAATAATTATTGAAAATCTTGCCTAAGACAAACAGCAGCAATAACAAAAGAGAAAACGGGGGAGCTGAAAGAACCTACTCTGGCGAAGATTGCTCATCGGATTGGAGGCTCTGAGCTTAGTTTTTAATTAAATGTTGGATAGCGCAGAGGTCTCAGCTGCTCGGTTAATCCACATGCCCTTGAAGACATTCGGTTCCCATCGGTGCCCAGATGATCTGTTTATTTTGACTTCATCATTTGCAATTATTATTTTTATTTAGACACTCTAGCCACTCTAGCCGGGTGGGATCGGCCAGATCGACCCGATCGGGTAAAACGGTAGCGCAGCCATACCTGTAGAGCAAACAGACCCGATCTCTCCGCCCGTCTGGAATCCCATTTTTCGCTTCGCTTTCTGTGGTGCGTGCAAGTCAAATACGCCTAATCCCGCAGCTCAAGTGATCGAGGTGATTTCGTTTTCCGATCAGCCAGATGGAGCGGGATGTGGACGGAAGGCGAGAAGGGGAGGCCCACAAGAATGTCTGGAGGGCATTTCAAATATTTATCTTCGGTCGTCGCCAAGAAATTAGTAATCATCAGCTCGGCATAATTTGTGCTCCGCTCCTTCTTACTCGGGCGGTCTCATCTCTACAAATATTGATGTTACCTTACCATCACCCCTTTCCGAATACACTACAATGTTGGAAGAAGAACCAGAAGAATGTGCCCACTCATCTCGCTCTTAAGTCCATTGTGAACTGATCTCTTGTTTTCTCCGACTTTGTCCTTTTGTTTTGACCAGGACCTGAAAAGGCTTGTCACCCTGACTCCCTTTTCCATTTTCCAGTTTCCATTTCTTCGAGGATCATCCCGAGCCCAAGCGCTGCCGCTTTGATGTTGCACAATTGAGAGGCTTCCCGACCAGTGTCCCCACTTCCAGGGCCACCTGCGTGGCAATTAACTAAAACATCCTTTCGCCTCCGTATTGTTGTTTTTATTATTCTTGTCTGATGTTTGCTTAGCCTCGAAATTGAATTAAAAACGGCAATGAGCTGGAATCAGCAGATTTTCATTAATTTCACCCGGGGCTATGAGCCACCCACTGATTCAACCACTCAGCCGACCCACCACCCCCTGGGTGACAGCCACTTTTCGCCGCAAACTTCACGCCGCCACCCCCAATAACTGTTGATATAATTTTTCATAATTTTCCATTGTTCAAGCACTTGAGATTCGATTCTCCCGGGACTTTTGTGGCAGCAAAGTGCGTTTTTTTCCCCGGGCGAGGGGGCGTTCGGGCCAGACTCTCCGCCCATGTTTGCTTTACAGTTTTGGCTGTCGAACCGTGCAGCCGTAGACAAATATTATCGCTGGGGTAGCAAATTGCCTTCAAGCTGCATAAATTTACACAAAAAACCTAATGTACGGTGGAAAGGGCGGAGAGGGGGTGGGTGTAGACAGGTACGCGTCTCCCGCTAAGCCTTTAAAAGGTCGTCCTGCGTCAGCGATTAGCGCTAAAGAAACACGTTTTTTTTACAAAATTATAATGTTTATGCCCAAAAATGCATTTATATTTTTTTTGCCCGAAAGACAAAAAAATTACCCTCACAATACTTAAAAGTTTATGGTTTTTTAAAAGTATGCTTTCAAAATATGTTCTCGATTGAGTTTCCTAACATTTTTCTTTTAAAATTCTTGCTACAACTATATAATATATAAAATCAAAAATAATACTTTGTTTATAATATTATTATAAACTAAACTAACCAAAAATTTTTTTTTATCATAAAACCAGAAAAACTTACATGAAACTTTCCATATATTCTTTGAAGATATTTATTTCCATATATTCATATACACTGTACTATTGTGCCATACCCTAAATAAAGTTAATGGAATTAATTTGATACATAATAGAAAGTAATATTACGACACTTACATAAAACTTTCCATACATTCGACTTGTTCGTCCGCACACAGCAAAGTGATGCACTGTGCTCCATTAATTCTACAAAAAATTTAAGGGAATAAAAATCATAAATAATATAATGTCGATGAAATGCATACATATTAATAAATTCAACATATTGAAGAGGTACTCCACTTCCCCATTAGGATGTGGTGCGCTTGTCCACCTCACTTACACATGCACAGTTTCAAAATGGCCAACGCGGTGGAGACCTCCACGACGCTTCAGCATTTCGCCACTTTCATTTGGCTTGAAGGGATGTTCTGATTTAGTTTACTCATAAAACTGGATTCACTTATGATATTTAATACACCAATTTTACGAACACATCATAAATATTTTATATTATAACTTTTCACTCGACACTTTTTGCAAATTGCAAGCCTCAGCTCCAACTCTTCTTCTTTCCATTAAGAGAGCTAAAGGGGAGACAACAAAAATTAAATCTCGATGACACGTGGCCGATATATCGATTGCAGAGTGGGGAATAGTTTTGGAAAGGGAGAGGATTTATTTGATCTATTTTTAATTTATAAAGTAAAATTAAAATTTATAAAGTAAAATTAAAAATCACTAAGCATTTTAAATGGCACTGAAAATATCCCCCTTACATCGAAAGCAGACTTTCGAAAAAATCAAAATTTCAGGGGAGTTGAATTTAAATGCTTGAGAGAATCAAGAATGATAAAATAACAGATCCATTAAAGAAGTATAAGAAACCCAATAAACACCTCGTATATGTACGTCAAACAATTGTTTTTTAAATTGTAGTACCCATCAAGGGTTACCCTGCAAGTTGCCGATCAATTTTCATGCCTGCACGGTTTTAATCCAACACGATGGAAACTGCGTCAACAATTTTTACAGAAAAGGGGACGACTAAGGGTTGCAACCGGGGGCTGAGGAGTTGGCAGGCATGCCCCCTTCCTGGCGACGAAGTTTCCAACCGACTTGCGCTGCCAATTTCGACTAATTAGAGAACCTGGCAAAAACGGCCGCCATTTTGCGTTTGCCTGTAGGAGCGACAGTGGCAGCCCTTTCGCCAGTTTGGGACTCCCCCCACACAGTTTCGGAATTTTGATTTGATTTTTTTTATGGGCGGCAGCCATTTTTTTGGCTCTGCCTTCGACGAGCTGGAAAAACAAGGGAAATTAGTCGCCATAGACGGCGGGACAAGGGCGAAAAATCACAGTGAGCAGGTGGTGCGATTAACGAAGCGCAAAGTTATCATATCACTGCAGCTACGTGCCTGCAACGCCAAACATTTTTGGTAATCCAAGCACTCAGTCAGCAGACCGACCAAAAAACCCAAAAATAACACACGGTCTGGACGCCCCCACTCTGACAGGCGGAAGGTTAAAGGGCACGGAGGGAGCCAGAGGGGGCGCAGCGTAAAGCGCTTTTGTAGTTAATTAAAAATCAACTGCCGAGGGTATGTTTGTTCAATGGATTTCATGCACGATTCCAATGTGTGCCGCCCAGCCGTCCCTCTGCATGAGTACAGCCAAAGTACTGGCCACCCACGCCCACCTCTCCCCTTTCACCTCTGATTTTCAGTGGTATCAGCGATTTATGCGCTCCTGGATGAAAAATCTATGGCAATATTTGCGGTGGGGTGCCGGGCCTCGGAGATCACTCGCCTCGAAACCAAGGCCCATGCATGTCAAGTGCAGTCTTCTGGGAAAAAAGTGCTTGCACAGGAATACACTGAAGAAAATAAGCCAAACTTACTAATCTACCAAAGAGACTGCTCGAAGGAGCCAAACTATTTTTTAAACACTAATAACACACTTCTAGAATCTATATTCTAGATGAATGTCAGTGGTTTTTTAATCCAAATTAGTTAGGATACATTTTTTTTGAAAACTTTTTATTCATTTCCGCAGCGGGGTCTGCAGAGTCGCCATTTTGGGGCAATATTTTCGTTGGAAGCCCCGAAAAACGCCACCAATCAACATACAAAATCGCATTCCCAACACCCGGCACCCACCTCTGGCGCGGCGCTTTTCCGCCTTTGTTTATTTAATTTCGCAAAATTTTCACTGCGATTTTTCCGAGCAAACGGGCGGCCGAAGTCGGGAAAACGCGCCCGCGGTTATGGCCAAATTGTTGTGCGTTAGTCAGATTTCGGGGCGGTGGGGGTGGTGTGGGGTGAAAGAGTTTCCGTACAAAAGCCGGGCCACGGTCTGGTTCGAATGTTGGCCGTACAAATTACGGGATTAGCAGAGCGCGCACGTTTTTTCCCTCGCACACACACATCCTGCGGGCCGTGTAGTATCGTCGGATTCCGGATTAGAGTTCAATGCGGTTCGCTAGCCAACATTTAATTAAAATATGAAACTTTAATAAGCAGAAACGCAAAAAAGGCAATCAGGCCGCAAAAACCATCCATCGGCCCGCAGCTAATATTAATTTTTTCGTTTTGTTTTTGAATTTGTGGATTAAATCTGTTGCATAGGCAATTATGGGGCACGTTCGCCTGCAACACACTCGCTGTGTTGACACAATTAAGCTGACTAACACAAATTCATGGCCTGCCACGCCCCGGAACGGCGATTTTGGAAAAAGGCGTGTTGTTTTAATAACTTAAGCTCATAAAATTATGAAAATTATGAAAATAAATATTTAAAATTTGTGCTGTGCACCGACACTATGATATCAAAAATCTAATTAGGCTAAAAGGACCGGGCCATAATAAAAATACTGGGTGACATTGGCAACTGAGAGTTCAAAGGTTGTCAAGATAACAAGATGCTCGGGGAAGTTAAAGAAAAAACATTATTTCCTCTCCCACTTGGTTGAGTGTAAAATTAAAGTATGGGTTTTTTTAAGATATCCTTTTATGCTAAGTACGTTTAAGGTATTTCCTTCAAAATGCCACTCCTACCTCCTACCGCGGCTTGTTATTTTAACAAATTCAGTCGATTTGCTGCGTAAACATTTCTCCTTCCCCCAAGGAAAACTGGAGGAAAATGAAACTTTTTCCAACACAATGATAACAATGGGAAAACGCAACTTTTCCAACGGCAGTCCCGGCCTTATAATTGTTCTAATTAAACTTTTTACTGGCTTGCTTCCTCGAGCTCTCCCTGCATCTCCCCGTGTTTATTCAGCAAATAATCACAGACGGATAAATAAATAACACAGGGGTTGCAAATTTGGCGTTGCACTCTCGGATTGGGCAAACAGAGTGCCAGGCTACAGAGACTCCGCCCTCCGTTGGGGTGGGGATGGGCTAGGGTAGCTGTGGGGCTAATGACAAGACAGTCGGCAGGGCGAGTCCAAGAGCATCCGCACCTTGCTGCTTAACCCCATGATGGTAACCCCGAGACCCTGCACAGCCGCCTCTGGGGTTAATTAAGTAAGTAACTGTGGGTGGTGGGCATGGGCATGGGGCGGGGACATCGAGGGAGTGGCTAATATCAAAAGGGGATAACAAATGGTAACACATTCGAGCCGGAAATGGAGTTATCTCTTCAATGATTTCATCAATTTTTTCCTACTTTAGCTACATTCTTCCTCCTTCCTTTGCCTCGAAATTAATTACAATTACAATACACCCTCTAATTAGACGTTAAAATGGGAATGGGAGGGGGTCCCTGGCAACTTGGCCGAAAGATAAACGTCAAGATGGAGGAAAGAAGCCAGAGTACTGACTAACAGCGATGGGCGAAAAAAGTGCTTAAAATATTTATGACTGGAAATCCCAGAGAGAAAGGAGACCGGAGAAGCGAGAGAAGAAATTTTCCGGGAAAAACGGATGAAAGTGTTTGCGAAGCCCGGCGCTCAAAGGTAACCTAGACAGCCGCATGCCCACCCTCCATCTTAAAAGTCCAGGCGGAAAAATATGTACCTTCGAAGTTCTGGCTTGCAAATAAAAAACAAGAAGCAAAGCTCCCTTCAAGGCGCTGAAGATTGTGTACTCCCTATGAATATATCCGTAATCCACCTAAAATTAAGAAACCTATATTATAGAAGCAGTGTAGACTTACCCTTCAGTATTTATGACAAATCTTTGGTGAAATTTTACTCAATACCTCATTTTCTTTCTGCTTCCAGGTGTGGTTCAAGAACCGACGGGCCAAGTGGCGCAAACAGAAGCGGGAGGAGCAGGAGCGCCTGCGAAAGCTGCAGGAGGAGCAGTGTGGCAGCACCACCAACGGGAGCGGCAACAACAACAGCACCTCTGGAACCGGCGCAGGGAGCAGTGCTTCCGCCGTGAAGTGCCCCGGATCCGATCACTACAGTCCCCAGCTAGTGCACATAAAAAGCGATCCAAACGGGTACAGCGACGCCGACGAGTCCTCCGATCTGGAGGTGGCCTAATCGGACTACAGACCCCAGGTGTACATAGATTCGATCCCAAGCTGTAAAAACACTAGACCCCATAGATGTATTGTTTCACCAAATGGACTTACTTGAGCCTAAATTATTCCCTATTTGTTAGCGGGCTATGACACTTCCAGAATCTTCCGGGGGCGCCAAACCCAGAGCCCTACTTTCGAGTTTTAAGCAAAGTTCGCCCGAAGCAGTTTCGTTTGTTTGTAAATAAAAAGAAGGCTAAATCCCGTTTATAGGCATTTTCTGTTATTAAGTTTTAAGCGACCCCCAGCCTCCGGGCTGGAGAATTAGAATCATGAGTAAGAGTAATATTAGCCAAGTATATTACATTATATATTTAGTGAAATCTGTACAGTCACCATTTGTATTAAACGTGTGTCGTCTTGTTTTGTTCCCAATTGGTAATTGCCAGTAACTTCAATACTTGAACCATTCATAACAAATACATGCTATAAACATTACTTAGACGAAGATAAGTGTCATTTCCAAGGATAATTCTAATGTTAAACTAACTTATTGCAAACAAAATAAAAGCAAAATCGCCAAACTCTCAGAAGAACCCCATGTTTTTGACTCTGGAGGTGAAAATTGGGAAGACCCTGCCGAAATCCTTCACACCTGCCAACGGCCGGGCAACAGGAGATCCGAGGCGGGGGCTAGGACGTCAGGGGACGTGGCGGTCAGGCTGTTAGCAGCTTCGATGGACACTTTGAAGGCTTCGGCTCCAATCAATTCACACATCGGCACGGACCAGCACACAAAGGGCCTGAACAGAGGATGTGAGCCGGATGAGGAGGGGGTATGAAAATGTGTTTTGTCTTGTTCTGTGGCAGATGTATCTGGGTGTCTTTGTATCTCATGGATTCCACACGCCATTTTTGTTTCTTTACTGTAAATTGTTGTCTAAAAATATCGTACATTGTTGGGATTTAATTGCAGAAAAGTGTCTGCACCTTTAAGATATTATTATTACTGACTATTACTGTTTTATGTTCTATTTATAATTTTTGAAATTAATCATATTTCAACGCTGGCATTTACGGTCTATGGTTGACTTGTTCAGCTCCCAAAAATTGGCAGACAAATTACCCCAGCGCCAGGGTCCTGTGACTTCTCTGTTTGTGTTTCCCCCATTTTATCTTTGTGTTTTTCTCTTCTGGCCAAGTTTCCATCTTGTTATTTTCGTTCGGCAGGCAAAGGCAAGCACAGGAAGCTGGGGTCAGTCAGGTGAGAGACATCGACGTCTCGTATCGATGGCCGAAATTCAAATTCAAATTTTATTCCATCTTGACCGGGTGGCTGACTTCTCTGTAGTCGTCTGTAGTCCTCCGGCTGCAGTCGGAGTCGCCATTTTGTGCTCTGTCATCGCCCGGACTTATATTTGAATAGGTCTGCACCAGCCCATTCCGTTCTTATGACGATAAGATCTCGTGTTACCACAAAATCCGAGCCAGAATCTGGATCCTGCTTCTGGTTTTTTATTTGTTTGCCGCCCGTTAATAGTTCGTGTAAAAATCTACAAATATTTGCAATCTATTAATTTTTCTGATTTTTTCCACTCTCACCCGTGCCTTCTCATGTTTCCTTTGTTTTTCTAGAACACGCTTTCCATAATTTTTTTTCCGTTTCTGCTCTGTATCAACACGAAATTTAATATACACTTCCCGACCCTGCCCGCCCCTTTCATATTTACACACAGGCGCACAGCTAGTGTAATTTTTCCTGTTTTTAAAATAAAAATTCAACATTTCAGCTCTCACAACAGTGCGTTTAAAGCTGGTTCTAGACCCCATAGTTTAGTAGAAATAAATCAGACTATTTTATTTTCATGGTGATTCTATGAATGGCTTCAAAGAAACCAAACTCTTCAATGTTTATTTAAAAATGGCATATTTTCTCTTCCAAAGTTAACTTTTAAGCATTATACAATGAACTAAACCAAACGCGGGCTTCAGAATATTTAAATAAAAATATAATATACATTTAACTAAGTATATATTAGTACTTCAAAAACCTGAAACACACTTTGGGGGCACTACTGTACATGGGTGTGTACATTTCATATATCATTTTTTTCAACCGTTTTCCGAGTCCGAGTTTTTATAAATGTTTGTGTGGCATATGAAATATTTACCCATTAAATTTGCCTTTAATTAAATGTGTTCCCATACCCCAACTCGGTTCTTGTTTGCAGGAGCTGAGGGCTGTCGCCATTTCGTTTGTTGAAATAAAAATATTGTTAATTGCAATTCATTCACATGAACACCTCTCCCGGATGACGGCTGGACGAAAAGGTGGAAATCATTTCAGTAGCATTCGATTTTAATATTTCATTATTTAATATTGCCGTGGTAGTCGGCGGGAGGGGTGCACGAGAGGATATACAAATGCATATTCATAATGAATAACTCATTTGATGCCATCGGAGTTGGCTCGAACGTCCCAGCCCCAATCAGTAATTGAAAAGGATTGGGTTGGAAAGCATTGCGGCCTGGCTTCCGAAAAGGATTAATGCGGATCCCCAATGAATGAGGGGATAGAATATAAAATTGTATATTTTAAAATAAGGTGGGAGTGAAATTTTATTTAAGGCATACTTACGTACATAACCTCTAAGGGTACCTATATACATATAGCTCGATCTAAAAGTTTTTGTTATACATATAATCTACCGACATATTTTTAGAAAATCAAACTACTAACAGTTGTAAGTATTTCTAAAATTATTTTTGCATGCATTTTGAGAATTAATTGAGAATCGATCTACAAATCGTTTAAGGTATTCCGCTCAAGGATCGGATGAGAAATGGCAAAGCTATAGCCATCGCTGTGGCCCATATGAGTCCTCCCCATACATTCCCCAATTTTCAAATTTTGCTTCTCATCAGAAAAATTACAAAAAATCTAAAAATATTTTAGCTTCGGGGTTTTGATGCAAATTAATTGCGAATCGATCTACAAATCGTTTAAGGTATTCCGCTCAAGGATCGGATGAGAAATGGCAAAGCTATAGCCATCGCTGTGGCCCATATGAGTCCTCCCCATACATTCCCCAATTTTCAAATTTTGCTTCTCATCAGAAAAATTACAAAAAATCTAAAAATATTTTTGCTTCGGGGTTTTGATGCAGATTGATGCAGAATCGATCTACAAATCGTTTAAGGTATTCCGCTCAAGGATCGGATGAGAAATGGCAAAGCTATAGCCATCGCTGTGGCCCATATGAGTCCTCCCCATACATTCCCCAATTTTCAGAGGAGTCTCTCCAGAAAAATGACAAAAAATCTAAAAATATTTTTGTTTCAGGGTTTTGATGCAGATTAATTAAGAATCGATCTACAAATCGTTTAAGGTATTCCGTTCAAGGATCGGATGAGAAATGGCAAAGCTATAGCCATCGCTGTGGCCCATATGAGTCCTCCCCATATATTCCCCAATTTTCATAGGGTTCTCACCAGAAAAATTACAAAAAATCTAAAAATATTTTTGCTTCAGGGTTTTGATGCAGATTGATGCAGAATCGATCTACAAATCGTTTAAGGTATTCCGCTCAAGGATCGGATGAGAAATGGCAAAGCTATAGCCATCGCTGTGGCCCATATGAGTCCTCCCCATACATTCCCCAATTTTCATAGGAGTCTCACCAGAAAAATGACAAAAAATCTAAAAATATTTTTGCTTCGGGGTTTTGATGCAGATTGATTGCAGAATCGATCTACAAATCGTTTAAGGTATTCCGCTCAAGGATCGGATGAGAAATGGCAAAGCTATAGCCATCGCTGTGGCCCATATGAGTCCTCCCCATACATTCCCCAATTTTCATAGGATTCTCACCAGAAAAATGACAAAAAATCTAAAAATATTTTTGCTTCGGGGTTTTGATGCAGATTGATGCAGAATCGATCTACAAATCGTTTAAGGTATTCCGCTCAAGGATCGGATGAGAAATGGCAAAGCTATAGCCATCGCTGTGGCCCATATGAGTCCTCCCCATACATTCCCCAATGTTCATAGGAGTCTCACCAGAAAAATGACAAAAAATCTAAAAATATTTTTGCTTCGGGGTTTTGATGCAGATTGATGCAGAATCGATCTACAAATCGTTTAAGGTATTCCGATCAAGGATCGGATGAGAAATGGCAAAGCTATAGCCATCGCTGTGGCCCATATGAGTCCTCCGTATACATTCCCCAATTTTCATAGGATTCTCACCAGAAAAATGACAAAAAATCTAAAAATATTTTTGCTTCAGGGTTTTGATGCAGATTGATGCAGAATCGATCTACAAATCGTTTAAGGTATTCCGCTCAAGGATCGGATGAGAAATGGCAAAGCTATAGCCATCGCTGTGGCCCATATGAGTCCTCCCCATACATTCCCCAATTTTCATAGGATTCTCACCAGAAAAATGACAAAAAATCTAAAAATATTTTTGCTTCAGGGTTTTGATGCAGATTAATTAAGAATCGATCTACAAATCGTTTAAGGTATTCCGTTCAAGGATCGGATGAGAAATGGCAAAGCTATAGCCATCGCTGTGGCCCATATGAGTCCTCCCCATACAAACCCCAATTTTCAGGGTTTTGATGCAGATTGGTGAGAATCGATCTAAAATCGTTTAAGGTATTCTGATCCCATCAGAAAAATGGACAAAAAATCAGAAAAATGACAAAAAATCTAAAAATATTTTTGCTTCAGGGTTTTGATGCAGATTGATGCAGAATCGATCTACAAATCGTTTAAGGTATTCCGCTCAAGGATCGGATGAGAAATGGCGAAGCTATAGCCATCGCTGTGGGCCCATATGAGTCCCCCATACATTCCCCAATTTTCATAGGATTCTCACCAGGAAAAATGGACAAAAAATCTAAAAATATTTTTGCTTCGGGGTTTGATGCAGATTGATGCAGAATCGATCTACAAATCGTTTAAGGTATTCCGCTCAAGGATCGGATGAGAAGTGGCAAAGCTATAGCCATCGCTGTGGCCCATATGAGTCCTCCCCATAAATTCCCCAATTTTCATGGGATTCTCACCAGGAAAAATGGACAAAAATCTAAAAATATTTTTGCTTCAGGGTTTTGATGCAGATTGATGGAGAATCGATCTACAAATCGTTTAAAGTATTCCGCTCAAGGATCGGATGAGAAATGGCAAAGCTATAGCCATCGCTGTGGCCCATATGAGTCCCCAAGGGAAAACCTCATTTCCAGGGATCCCATCAGGTTCTCCCAGAAAAATGGACAAAAAATCTAAAAATATTTTGTTTCAGGGTTTTGATGCAGATTGATGCAGAATCGATCTACAAATCGTTTAAGGTATTCCGCTCAAGGATCGGATGAGAAATGGCGAAGCTATAGCCATCGCTGTGGGCCCATATGAGTCCTCGCATACATTCCCCAATTTTCAGGGATTCTCACCAGGAAAAATGGACAAAAAATCTAAAAATATTTTTGTTTCAGGGTTTTGATGCAGATTGGTGGAGAATCGATTAAAATTTTAAGGTTAAAGGAGAAAAAAAAAACCATTGCCAAATCGTTTAAAACAATTCTCCAGAAAATGACAAAATCTAAAATATTTTGTTTGGGGTTTTGATGCAGATTGATGCGAATACAAATCGTTTAAGGTATTCCGCTCAAGGATCGGATGAGAAATTGGGGATGGAGCTATAGCCATCGCTGTGGGCCCTATAGGGGAAACCCCATTTGCAGGGGTCCCATCAGATGGCCTTGGTCCTCTATATTCCCATTTTTGGGTTCTCCGAAAAATGGACAAAAAATCTAAAAATATTTTTGCTTCAGGGTTTTGATGCAGATTGATGCAGAATCGATCTAGAAATCCTTTAAGGTATTCCGCTCAAGGATCGGATGAGAAATGGCAAAGCTATAGCCATATAGCCATCCCATTGTGGGGCCATCAAACTATTTTTGGGGATAAATCCCCAAATTTTCATAGGATCCCATCAGGAAAAATGGACAAAAAATCTGAAAAATATTTTGAAAATAAAAATATTTTTCAGGGTTTTGATGCAGATTGGTGGAGAATCGATCTAGAAATCGTTTAAAGTATTCCGCTTAAGGATCGGATGAGAATTGGCGAAGCTATAGCCATCGCTGTGGCCCATATGAGTCCTCGGAAAATTCCCCAATTTTCAGGGATTCTCATCAGGAAAAATGGACAAAAATCTAAAAATATTTTGCTTCAGGGGTTTTGATGCAGAATGATGGAGAATCGATCTACAAATCCTTTAAGGTATTCCGCTTAAGGATCGGATGAGAATTGGCAAAGCTATAGCCATCGCTGTGGCGCCTATAGGGAAAACCCCATTTCCACATTCCCCAATTTTCATAGGATTCTCACCAGAAAAATGGACAAAAAATCTAAAAATATTTTGTGCTTCAGGGTTTTGATGCAGAATGGTGCAGAATCGATCTAGAAATCGTTTAAAACACTACGCTTCAAGGATCGGATGAGAAATGGCAAAGATATAGCCATCGCTGTGGCCCATATAGAGTCCTCCCCATACATTCCCCAAAAATCATAAAAATTTTTGTGTTTTGCAATTAGGGATCTCCATCAGGAAAAATGGACAAAAATGTTGACAAAATATTTTTTGTCTCCAGATGAAAAATATTTTTGATTTGGGGTTTTGATGCAGAGAATCGATCTACAAATCCTTTAAGGTACTCCGCTCAAGGATCGGATGAGAAATGGCAAAGATATAGCCATCGCAGTGGGGCCCATATGAGTCCTCCCCATAAATTCCCCAATTTTCATAGGATCTCATCAGGAAAAATGGACAAAAAATCTAAAAATATTTTTGCCTCAGGGTTTTGATGCAGAATGGTGGAGAATCGATCCAGAAATCGTTTAAAACACTCCGCTCAAGGATCAGATGAGAAATGGCAAAGCTATAGCCATCGCTGTGGCCCATATGAGTCCTCCCCGTACATTCCCCAATTTTCATAGGGTTCTCACCAGAAAAATGACAAAAAATCTACAAATATTTTTACTTTCAGGAAAAATCATTCAAGGTATTTTTCTGAAAGGTCCGATAATAAATTGAAATGATATATATGTACATCGTGTGGGGTCATATATGTACATATGTATATTATCGTTTTTTTTTCATAAGCAGCCACTGTGTTGTCCTCGGGCGAGTGTCCTGCTGTAGATTAGCAGGTGAAACAGGTGAGTTTAATCCATAAAATGTGCGATTATTGCGTTTATGCGGCCCCGGGCGCATTCGATATAAAATATAAACAAACGTTAGAGAAATTACAGGAAAAGCCGAAGAAGGAGCTGACTCAGCTCTCGTCCTTGCGATGTCAGGCAACACACATGCCAGACTCCAAGGCTCTTGCAAGGCTCCTCAGACGCACGACGCTTATTTGACTATCGATTAAAGTTTGTGGTTCTTGTGCACACAGCCCCGGGACTCGAGAGCTTGAAATAATTCCGAAGAAAGGTTTTTGATTAATTTTAAATGCAACCAGGCAGGAGTAAGGATTCGGAAAAGAAGTGTGTTGTTAAAGAGGTCATGGCAAGGATAATAGCGAACTCTTTCAACCATGTTTTACACCAAAAAGGGAGGAGAAATCAGACATATCGGAGCTTGGGGTGGGGCCACTCACATTCTGTGTTTTGTAGCTTCCCTCCTGACTCCTCAATACTTAACTTTTTATACCCTTGCAGAGGGTATTATAATTTTGTCCAAAAGTGTGCAACGCAGTGAAGGAGACATCTCCGACCCTATAAAGTATATATATTCTTGATCAGGATCACCTCCTGAGTTGATATGAGCATGTCCGTCTGTCCGTCTGTCCGTCTGTCTGTTTCTACGCAAACTAGTCTCTCAGTTTTAAAGCTATCGTCTTGAAACTTTGCACACACCCTTCTTTCCTTTGCACGCAGTATATAAGTCGGAACGGCCCGGATCGGCCGACTATATCCTATAGCTGCCATATAACTGATTGATCGGAAATGGTATAACTTTGGTATTTTTAGAGTTAGAGAGTTCAAATTTTAGGTGAAAGCTATTTTTGGCAAAATAAAACGACATGCCAAATTTCATAAGGATCGGCCGACTATATCCTATAGCTGTCATATAACTGAACGATCGGAAATGACCCAACTTTCGTGTTTTTGAAGATAGAAAGCTGGAATTTAGTACAGACTCTATTTTTGGTCAGTTGATCCAACCTACCAAATTTCATTAGGATCGGCCGACTATATCCTATAGCTGCCATATAACTGAACGATCGGAAATGGTATTTGGTAGAAATATCAACTTTCGTATTTTTGAAGATAGAAGCTTGGGACTTTTTTTAGATTTTGTATTGTAATAAATGGGAGTATATATTCCTATTCCCATAAGGATCGGCCAACTATATCCGATGTTTGCGATATTACTATCCGGTTTGTGGTACTTTGCAACAGCCGGGACTCGAAGCTTGAAATAATTAAAGGTTTTGATTAATTTTAAATGACCGGCGGGTGAGAAGTGTGTTGTTAAAGAGGTCATGGCAAGGATAATAGCGGACTCTTTCAACCATGTTTTACACCAAAAAGGGAGAAGAAATCAGACATATCGGAGCTAGGTGTGGGGCCACTCACATTCTGCGTTTTGTAGCTTCCCCCCTAACTCCTCAGTACTTAACTTTTTATTTTAGTTAAAAGATTTTACGCCCATATTTTGATGCAAAAGTCGCAGGCGAAAAAAAACCAACCGAACTTCCTCGCGCATGGCTGCCCAGCCTAATAACAGGAGATTATCCAATGGCAACCGGCCGAGCATCCTTGGTCGCGTCAACCCCGACCGGAGATAATGAAATTTTTGGGCAGCCTTTGTAGCTGCGAGTATCCTGCGAGACTGCGGCCAGTCCACCCGCTGCGACAGCCACCTCAGCCTCAATTAGCTTATTGTCCTCGTCATTGTCAGTAGCCGCAAAATGGCTGACAGCACTTCTCCGGCCAAAAAGCGGGCAGAAGGGGAGGCGGGGGTCTACTGACGGCGAGTTGCATTAGGGCCCTTGGCCTGGCCAAATCCACAAGGAGCTTTCCCAGGTGTTAAGCCAGCTGAGCTGGGTGCTCGGCACCCCCGGCCCTTCCATCTCCCAGCCGTTCCTTTAGAAGACCTTCCGCAGGATTCTGTTCTTGTAGGCTTTGGCTCAAGGTCCGGGAGCTTTTCAGATCCATCCTCCCAACTTTAATCCAAACAGGAATCAAATCAGTTTGGCTACAAAATGTAATAACAAATTACATAAAAGTAAAATTTTAAGAGCTACTCCTAATGTATAGATGCCGTGTTCGTTTTAAGGGATTCTTACAGTTCCATACAGTGTACACTCTACACTAAATCATAACAATAGTCAGCGCGGGAAGGGAGGAAAGGGTCCTCTGGCAATTGTTAAAAAGCAAAGCAAATGTTATTGCCAAACAAACCAAACCGAAACCAGAAATCTATTCAAATCGCACAATTAGTTTGCCTCTAATCCGACCCACAAATAGGGCGGGGCTGCCAGGACGAGGCAGGACGGGCTGCCTACGGGGCCCATTGTTGCGTGTGTAGACACACGTAGCGGAATCCATAGAAGCGTACAGTGAGCAACCTGCAACGGGAAAGGAGCTCGAATCCGTTGTTAAGGACTCCAGTTTCCATCTCACACCTAATAAAATATATATTTTGTGTTACTAATCAGAGAAATCAGAAAATACTGGAACAGCATCTACTCGTTCATCTATTTTACCCAAAACTATTTTTAAATATTATCAACTTTTAATTTATACACAAGATCCTTATTCTATTACTTTTTAAGGCTGAATTACAAACTTTAGATACAATATTTTAGTGCTCTTTTAGTTTTTAGATTCCTTATTCGAACCAACCTTTTTTTGGAAAAGACTTACCCAATACAGGCTAAACCTATCGTCATGGACTATAAAACAACAACATGATTTAACTTCACCATTCGCCCCTGAACTTCTTGCCTTGGAAGCCACATCGGTAACAACTAAGATTGCACCGGCTATGCTTCACGATTGCCTACAAATTGTCCTAAATGTGATTAGTCCCCGCGCCGGCCTCAGTCCTGATGATGATGCAGTTGATCCACGAGGTCAGCAATACCCTCCACTCCGATGCTAAGAGAGGGCAGCGACTTGTCTAGCACTAGGAGGGAGGGAGGAGTCTTAGGCCCTGTGTCCTCCATACCAAAGGCGGACATTCCGATGGCCTCGAGGCACAGTTCGTTGGGTGAACTGACGAGCTGGGCGTGGCTCTCCACGTACGACTGCATCTGGGGCTGTTCCATGCTGAGAATGCAGTCTGCCTTGAAGCTGTCAATCGTGAACTGATCGACGCTGAGGAACTTCATCTCATCATAGGCGGAGGAGCCATCGGGCAGTTCCAGATCCAAGGAGGCAGCAAACTCTAATCCCTGCGAATGCAGTGGATTCTGTTGCGCATGCTGATGGATGTTCTCATGGTGCGGATGTTGATTCTGCCCGGAATGCTGCTGCTGAGGCGGGTGCTGCTGGTGGAGAGTATGCTCCGACTGCGGTGGCTCTGTACTTGGAGGAGGGTAAGTGGACCACTCCATCGAGAGCCCGTTGCCGCCTCTTTCGAGGCCAAGCTGGTCAATGTTCAGGTTCAAGAAGATATTCGGCGACAGCCTGGATGGTGACATGGACGTGGGTCCATATGGCGCCTTTAGCTCGTTGTCCAGGGAGTTGGAAGATTGGGGTGGTGTGTCCGGCAGGAGAGTTCCACCTGCTGGAGATGGGTCGAATTCGTCAGACAAAAATAGTCAGGAAAACAGTAAAACACTAACCTAATGCCGTATCTAGTTGACCCAAAACAGCGCTATCGTCGTAGGACACATCGAGATCCAGGCCCCCCTCCTTGTAGTCTCCTCCGATTCCGCCGATCTTCTCCTGCTTCCGCCACTTGGCCCTTCGATTCTGAAACCACACCTGCACCCGGGCCTCCGTCAGATCTATTCGCACGGCCAGCTCCTCGCGGAAGAAGACATCCGGGTAGTGGGTCCGCTGAAAAGCCCTCTCCAGCTCCTGGAGTTGCAGCGTGTTAAATGTTGTTCTATGGAGGAGCGATTATAAAGTGGATGTTACTCCAACTACAGATTGAAATGGGTGGGTATAGTCCTTACCTGTATCTCCTTTGCTTGCGCTTCATTGTGCCTTTGTCCATGCGAATCCTGAGTTTAAAGTTTGGTGGGAGTAGTATCAGAATAGTCGGCTGTGGGCCAGATATCTTTCAATCCCAATCACTCCCCCTAAGCCAGTGGGTCTTCAAGCGCGTCGTGACATACTCGCCGAGTGTTTTTCTATTTTTTAACGATTTTCGTAGACACTTCAAGGGCTTCCGCGGTATTGCTACTTTTCGCTTTTCCACTTGGACAGACACCACGAAAAAAGCTTTACGAGAACTACGATGTGGCTGTATGATGAGGCCTATCCTTTTTGGTTCCAGATACCAGAGCTCAGCACGGATTCGCGCCCAGGTACAGCTGCATCCTCCGCGCTTCTTCTAGAGCTGCTGAGTTTATAGAAGGTGTGACTCTCAAACTGGGCAACCGCGCATCTCAAACTGTTGGGACGGCAATGTTCTTGCCTCGGCGACGCGAATTTGACTGAGGAGGATTTCCACGGCGGGCAGTGCGTGCGGCCTATCGTCGGAAGCCCTAGAAGAGCTCCAAGTCCAGTGTGGTTGGCATACTATCGGGCCCCCTACGCTGGCATCTGCTGGATTTCATATGTGTGGATAGTTTCCAGTGAGGGTCTGACCCGGTCTGTCGGTCTAGCCGAACTCTGCTATGGCATAGGCGCTGCACCTGACCCGAGTTTCGTCGAAATGGAGACAGAGTGAGCTCATAGCCGCTATTGGCTAGTGTGGAGTGCATCGTTGTTTGGAAGATCTGACAAGGCTATAACTCTTGAGCTGATAAACCTCCTTTATCAGCTGAATTTCTTCTACAGTATCAATCAGAGATTGTCTGAAGAATTACAAGTGTCTGTATTTGTTGTTAATAAGGCTAAAATATTGAAATAAAAGATAAATTGTAGCCAGAGCGGACCAAACTCTGAAAAGTGTGCTACAGGATTTGGCGAATTCGGTTTAAACACCTCCGCTTGATAGTTGTGTGGTGGTGGCGTGGAGCGCTTAAATTGCCCTTTGCCGGCGCTTGTAACCGAGCCTGGGCTCGAATTGTACACATGTCTGGGTCACTGGGCTTCCTTCGGGTCTCCCACCCTGCACCCCACACGCCGCTTCGCCACTACGACAGCACTTGGGGCCTTGGAGGCGTTTTCATTTCCCCCTCCAATCGAATGCCAAAAAAAAATATAAATAGCCAAGGGACCCAACCCCTTTCAGCCGGCCACTTGAGCCTGGTGTGGGTCCATTGTTGTGGTGTCAACACAGTGATGCCTTTGTTCCGCACTGCCCAGGTGACGGCCCATAATGGATCCGCTCTCTCCGCAACGCCACAAAAGGTAATCCGAGAGCCGGTCTTTGTCCGCTTGGAGTATAAAAGCACGGCGTGTCCATCCGCAGATTTGCAAAAGGAGCTGAGCGTGAGGCTGGCACGGATCGAGCAGGATGCCCTGGGTGAGTCCTATCCGGAACCTGCGATGGAACCCTTTCATGTATACAAATAATGTTCGTCAACCTGCAGTTGGCCATTTCCATAGCGACGTTGGCGCTGCTCTCCCTTTCCAATTGCGGATTCGGAAGTAGGTTTCCCGACGATCCAGATTACGGCGACTTGATAGAACTAGAGGAGCAGCCGGAGGAGCTTCCTGATCGCAGTACCTCCAAGATGTTGAGCGCCCTGATCGGCTTCAGTTCAACAGCCCTCCGACCCACAGAAACGACTTTTGCGATACCCCATCAATTGCCGCCCATGTACTACAACGACTTTTACGAGGATCTAATGGCTACCAAGCGAAACGACGTACACTCCGCTGGCTGCGATTGCAAGGTTACGGTTAGTTGAGGCAACACAGTGATACCGCCATAAGAAAATTTTTAACGCTCCTTCACTTCGCCAGAATAAGCTGAAGGACTTGGGAAGCCAGCACTTTCCCCGCTATTTAATGACCGCGGTCTGCGAGTCCCGCACTGCACAGGACGTTGCCAAGTGCACTCACGGATCCAATTGCCGCCCTCTGGAGTACAAAGTGAAGGTCCTAGCCCAGGGCACTCTCCCCGACCACTCTGGATCGGGCTCTCTGAGTCGGGACCCTTCTGAGGGGTGGAAATTCAGAACCGTGACAGTTACGGCCGGCTGCTTTTGCGCCAAGTAAGGGGACTGGATTCGGGAGCATCTGAAGTGAGAATATATTGACTATACTTGCATATTAAAGGGCCAGAAAGTCGCAAATGTTTCTTTATTGATGGGAATGATCCAAGAATTTTAGTAGAATATACGGCGTGACCCTTTCATGGTTATAAAGGGCAGGTAATAGCAAAAGCAAAATCGTTTAGTAAAAAAAAAAGATTAACTTTGTAAACTATTAGATTCAAATCAAATGCATTAATCGTATTTTTACTGTAAGGTCTTGCCTTATCAAGGTATTGAGTAATTATAAAGTGAAGTTTATTCGAAGGCACATTCTGGCCCAAGGTGGAATTGTTTTTATAAACAAACATGTAAGTATATTCGATTGAGTCAAATTGTACAGTAGGAGTGTCTTATGTATGTTCCTTATAAAATTTATGAAATAGTGGATGGAATCGGCGACCTGTTGGGTCAAGGCACTTTGTCTAAAAACTACTTATGTGGACAGAATCACTTAGCTTATGGACGGATGTAAAACAGAGGACTGAACGGAAATTGTCTTGACTTCGGTGAGCCATCAAGGCTAGCACTATTGAGCAAGCCAGAGTCCCAGTCCTGAAATTGTGATTCCCAGAGCTAGGGTCAGGCCAAACACGTGGTTTGAAGAAGCGCCACTCTGAAAGGGAAATTTAAGTAAATAACCAGAAATGATTGTGGTTCGTTGTACTCACAATCACGAAGTAATTGCAGCGATCGCCTTGGCAGCACTCGTTGCAGGCCCAGTCCTCGTACCAGATGTGGGTGCAGTAGAGCTGCATGTACCTCTTTCGCTTCGACTGGCACTGCTCCTTGGTCATGCACCGCTTGGACACGTAGTACTGCTTCAGGGCACCCTCAGAAAAGTAGGGCTGCGATCCCCAGCGGATCTCTGTGCCGCAGGTGTTTTCGTAGGACTCGCAGGTCTTGATGGTGTTCAAGCATTTCTCAGTGTTACCCGTCTGGTTGGAACACACATAGCACTCCAGCCCGGACACAAAATCAACTAAGAGTTATAACCATGATGCATTGCTTAGGTGTGGTCTGTGAAGCGACAGGTGCGACGAGGAGTACTCACCTTGCCAGCACAAATAAACTGCAGCGAGGGCCACAACCAGTATCTCCCAGGACTTCATTGTGTGTCAGAGATAGAATCTCAACTAATCTCTCCTAAGTTATCTTATTTAATAAACAAACGCGTTCAATTGCCAAACAAAACCACTCCCAAAACAAATTATTACGAGTTTTTCAACTCTAGCAGCACTCTACTAACGACGTTTGCCAACACTACTTCTAACTGCATGGATCTTTTTTTGATGCACTTATTTAGCTTTAAAAGTGTCTTATCTATCCGAATCGGCGAATATTGAAAAATATAAATGTATTTTTCATGTTTATTTAATAAATTTATTAAAAATTCAAAATTTAGAGCGGCGCGAAAAGAGAGCACAAAGCGCAACATTCTCTTGGCGCAACATGTTGCGGAGGCATACATCGAAAAACGATTACAAAATCGACTAGTCGTATTTCATTTCCGATATTTTGGTAAAAGCCGCCGCTTGGACAAAACAAAACAAAAAAGGTTTTGTCCCTCAATTGTACGGAACACATGGCCCGGAAGGAACAAGATGTGGAGCACGAGCTGCCGCCGCCGAGGTGCCACCCGCTTCTCCCCGAAGGATTCCGGCAGCTGAACACACAGGTGGCCGGTCACTCATTCGAGGCCGCCAACACGGAGGCTGTGGGACTCCTGCAGGATCCGAGTGGGGGATGCGTCTTGAAGCCGATGGGCAAGCCAGAGTGCGGTGAACGGGAGCTGAGATTTTATGAATCACTCGTGGAAGCAGGTGCTTCAGGTGATAATGACCTTGCCCTGCTCCGCGGTCACGTCCCCCGGTTTTACGGTCCCCTGAAACTGGTTGTGAATCAGCGCGAGCGCACGTTCCTTCGTCTGGAAGACCTCACGCTTGGGATGCTTCAGCCGTGCGTCATGGACATTAAAATGGGCAAACGAACATGGGACCCGGAGTCCTCGCCCAGGAAAAGGAAACTGGAGGAGGCCAAGTATGTGATGTGCAAACAAAAGCTGGGGCTCTGCTTGCCAGGGTTCCAGGTGTACCTCAAGGACGACCAGGATCCCAGTCGCACGGTGGTTCTGCGACATGGCAATGACTACGGCAAGAGCTTGAGTGTGGAGGGCTTCCAGAAGACCATGGCTCTGTTCTTCAATGCAAACTCCAGTGATTTCAGGTCTGCTAGGCCCCAGACAGAGGTGCTGCTGAAGGAAGTGCTGCGCCAGTTGGAACAGATCCTTACCTGGTTCCGGGGCCAGCGACTGCTGCATTTCTACGCCAGCTCCCTGCTCATCTGCTACGACTACTCCAGGCTGGGCAGCTCCGGAAAGTCCCCGCACTTGCTCAACGGACACCACTTCAAGGAAGACAAGCCCTCCGATTGGGTGAAGGTCAGGATGATTGACTTTGCCCACGTCTACCCGGCGGATAAGGCTCTGCCGGACGAGAACTACATTTTCGGGCTGAACAGCCTTATAGCCGTGGTACACGCCATCCTCCACCAGTTCTGATCAAAGGACGGGACCAAGACCACTCCGCAGCAGGGGAGACTCCAGATGTTCCAATCTCATTGTTGAGACACTTTTGTATTATCGCTTAAGCCAAAAAAGAGTTCACAGTAGAATCCCACCGACTGGGGGTCGGATCTACTCTAAAATCGTAGAATAAACCGCGTTTTTTAAAAGTGTGATTATACTTTTGTATGGATTCGGATTTTCGAAAGGGAGAGAATCACAAAGCGCCCGATTTTATGTTTATTACCTTGTTTTACTTCCGGCGCTTTACAAATTAATGTCAGATCGTGTACAAACAAAGCACTAACCCTTAGTATTGAGTTCTTAAGAGATTGTTAAACTTTTAGAATACTGAAAGCCCACAAAATATATTTATGATTTGATCAAAGTTTGTGTTTCCATCTCATGCTAGAGAGACTTTATTTTAGCTTTTATAATTATGCTGTGTTACTTTTTAAAGCGAGTAGTCCATTTCGTAGCGCTCGTATTGGTTCTTTGGGTCGTTCGTAATCCTCGGATAGCCCGCGATCAGGGCATCCTGACCTCCGATGTACAGCGAATTGTATATCTTCCAGTAGACATCGCGCACCTTTCGGGCGGGGTGAAACAGGCCCTGGAGTGTGTACTGCAGGATTTTGATGGGTCCCAGAGACACCCTCAGCCCGTCCACGGAGTCCATGAACGCCTGCACCAGATGCGGGGAGGTCTCGAAGATGTTCGGCCACACGTAGTTCAGCAGATGCGTGAGGGCATCCTCGCAGCCGAACCCGTAGACGCCCAAGGACATGTGCTTTATGGCTGAGCAGGCGGTTTGCCGGTGCACGAGATCGCGATCCATGAGGGCGTCCTCCAGCAGAGGGCACACGGCGTAAATGTAGTCCTTGCCCATTTCGCCAATGTACTCGAAGAGAAAGGAGAGCGACTTCAGAACGCCATTCTGCACATTCAGCTCGGGCACTCTGTACTCGTTCATGAGGGCAGGGAGCACGGTGAACGGACGACACGTTTCGGCCACAATGGCGATCGCCACTGTGGTGCAGACGCGGTTCTGGCGTTCCTGGACCTTCAGATTGTTCAGGAGGGTGGCCAGGACATCATGGGGACCAATGGCCTTTGCTATGTAGCCGAAGGTGTTTACCGTGGCTCTCCGGATGGCCTTCTTATGGGCCTTGAGCAGCTCCAGGAGCTCGAAACAGATCCTCATCCACTCCCGAGCCGAGACGTACTCAGGACCTCGATCAGCGATTCTTCCCACAAGATCGATGCAGTTCTCCTGCACCTTTTCGTGCCGATTCTTCAAGATAGGCGTGAGTCTGGGCAAGAGATCCTTGATGGGAGGCGTCATCTTTGTCATGCCAATCACGTTCACAATGGCCTTGAGGGCTCCCAGAATACTGCCCAGCACCTCGGGGTATTCCTCGCCCAAGTATTCGTAGAGGACGACGCCCAGATGGCCCATCAGCTTCTCCTCCTGACACGTTTTCATCACCACGGCGATGCGAGAAATCAGGTCCGCCGCCTGCTGACGCACCTTTGCGGATTTGTTGTTCAATCTCCAGAGAATTGTGCCGCAGATCTGGGGCAAGTAGGGCTTCACGCGCTTGCCCAGTTGGTTGACTATTGTGCCGAAGCCATTCAGCATCACCACGTCCTCCGTGGTCTGTTCCTGGAAGGCGTACAAGATGCCGTCGATGAGCTGCTCCTCTAGTCGGGAGTCGATGTCGGCCGCTCCCAAATTGCCCATGATTTTCTCCACCGTCTCCATCACCATTTTGCGGTACTGCTCGTTCTCATCCTTGAGGTCGTCCACTACGCGATTGATGATCTCGGATGCGCCCACCTTGTTGGCTATCTCCACAGTGGTGTCCACCAGCTGACGGTAGTTGCGCCTGTCCAGAGCCATGCGGTGGTTCCAGAAGAATTTGAAGAAGTGCGGCAGGATCTCCTCCTTGATGTACTGCGGCTCCACACCGTCGGTGGCACAGCACTGCTTCACCACCTTCAGCACAATCTTCTTCATTTCCTCGTCGGGCGACTGGAACTCTCGGATCAGGATCAGCATCACTTCCCTAGTATAGTAGTTGGCGTACTCGGCATCCATAAGGGGAATCAAGTAACCGATAGCCTTCAGGAAGGCCGCCAAGCCCTTGCCTCGATGGGTTCGAATACCCTTCCACAAGGGCTTCAGAACAGAGTCAAAGGACTCGATACCATACGGGGTAGCTGCCTCTGCGAGGGCGGCAATGGCCAGGGCTGTGATCGTGCGCACCTTCTGCTGCTCGTCCACAAGTCCGTGCTCGATAATCTCCACCAGGGCTTTGAGGTGCGGGAGAATGGCGCAGCCCATCAGAATGGCGATCTGCTGGACAATCTTGATGCCGGTGTGGCGAGCCTGCCAGGACTTCTTCGACTTGCACACTGCCTTCAGGAAAGGCAACAGAGATGGGATTCCCAGGGCCGATGCTACGACGGCAAAGGCTCGAGCTGTGGTGTTTCGAACGTACTCGTCTATGTTGTCAATGTCTGGCCTCATGGTGGAGATCATGGTGGCCAGTCCGGCCGCCTTGGCCAAGTTGGAAATGATTTCCCTTCCCTCGATTCTGGCGTAGTGGTCCTCGTCAATCAGGAGCGGTTCAATAACCACCAGGATTTTGTGGACATAGGGACGCACCAAATCGTCCAACTTGTACAAGACACGGTCTATCACCTTCACGAGCAAATGGCGCTCCTGGTCCTCCAAAGTTGGGGACATGAGTAGCGGTAGAATCTGATTGAACAAAGGGCCGGCTCCGAACTCCCTGGCCTTGTCCGTGATCTGTCGCAATGCGGATTTCCTCATCGGCGGAGACCCGTTCTTGATTGTGAGCAGCAGCTTCATAATCTTTCGTTCCTTCAGCTCCTCGGGCGAAAGGGCGTCCTCATTCACATCCACCAACAGCTTGTCGAAATACTGCGCGTCCTCGGGCTTCATAAACGGGAGGTTTTGCCCCTTGGGTTGGTTGTCCATGAACTTGGCGTTCTTGTCCTCCACCTGGATGAAGAAGCCGGCGGGAGTGCCGGCAATGGGCGTGGGAGTAGCCATCAGTTTCCTGCCCGGAGTTCGAAGCGGCACGTATCCAGCAGGCGGCGGCAAAATCTTGTATCCCGGAGGAAATATTTGGTCGAGTTCCTCGTCGGTGTACGGCCTGTTTCTCTCGTCGATTTCCTTTTCCCACCGATACGCTTGTAGCTGCTCCGGCGTCATAGCAGCCAGCGCTCCTGGCGTGGGCGTGGCCATGGCCATTGCCTTCACACCGACAGGTGTGCTGCCGCCTGGCGTCAACATTGGGGTGGCATGCCCCGGTGTGGCGTGCGGAGTCATACTGGGCGTCAAGCTTGGTGTCATTGCGTTAGCATTAGTTGGAGTGATCGCGGGCGTGGCGTTCGAGGGCGTTTCATCCCAGCGAGACCGACGCTTCGAGGCGCCCGGAGTGGACTCAATGGAAATGCTCTCGCTCCCAGCTCCGCTGCCTGTGCGATCGGGTTTTGGGGTCTCGGCCCATCCGCTGTGACCTGGAGTCTCTCGCTCCGTCTTGGGTGTTTCATCCCACCGATTTCGGCGGGCCGACTTCTCGTGTCCTGGGGTCTCATGGCCAGGAGTCATGGCATGCGCCGGTGTGGCGTCCCAGATGCGTGTGCTGAGTCCCGGTGTGGCTCCCGGTGTTTCGCTGCCCTTGTGCCCTGGCGTCTCGTCCCACCGATGATCTCCAGGAGTTTTCTTTGGAAAAAATAATAAAATTATATTTGGAACTCTATCAAATGTGGTATCTATGCAAACTTACATCCTCCCAAGTGGGTGTAGCTGCGCTACTGGGGGTGGCCGCCACCTTGGCGGGCACGAAACTGTCGCTAACTGTCTGGTCCCACCGACCACGTTTTCGTCCTCCTTCCTTCGATGGGGCAGACTCTCCATTGGAAGAGGAGGTCTTAACCAGAGTACCCTCCTTGGACTTTTCAAGAATCTTGCGTCGTAGCTCCGTCTCCTCGCCCTTGAGCATTTGCTCCCGCATAATGTCCGTGTAGGTACGGGAGCCAACGTCCGGCGTCTTACCTCCATCAGCAAAGGGATCTGCTCGTTCCGGGGAAATAATAATGCGGCGGCGCTTCTGACGGTACTCATCCTCGCGATCTGCGATGGTCGGACGGCGGCGATCCGCCAATGGATCCACATCCTCCTTGCCTTGGGTCACATCCTTCAGCACAGATGTGGGTGCCGTATAAGTAGTCCGCTTCTGGGGTACTGGAAAGCCACTATCCTCGTCTTCGTCGGCATCATCGGCGTCGTTGGCGGCAATTGAGGTATTGTAGCCTTCATACTTTCCCTTCCCCTTCCCCGCCTCCTCGTCATACAAGTCGCTGTCAAAGAAGCCACCGCTATCCAGCAATCCTACTCCGGCAGACGCGGCAGTGCTCTTGGCCAACTCGGTCTTCTTCTCCTGTATAACGCTGATCTGTGCCTCAATATCTGAAAAAACCATAATGTTTATTATATAGAAGCCACCGTAGAGTACCGGGCATGATTGTTTGGGCTTCCTGGAGGGTTTCCCGAGAAAGAATTTCATAAGGTCTTGAAATGTTATACCCTAAGGTATACCCCATCTACGGATTTTACCAAATGCCTCTTTGTTATGCTTACCCTCATGCGTCCGTGGGATATTCTCCATTTTTTCCTGTAAAATTATTATGACGGGTACAAGAAAATCTTCGGGTGTTAGAGATGCACCTTTAACCGATAGCCGATAAGATTAATCGTTACCCTTCGATAAGTTTGGTATTTAAAGGCCCATCCGTCTGGTAACACTTTTGACTGCACGTGTTTATTTTTGTTTTGTTCAGCTTGTTTTGCGCTATCAAAATGTTGGCCAAAAAACAGAAGATGAACGGAGACTCCGAAACAGAACTAAAGGCCACGCCTCAGACGATACAGGCGCGCCTGATCTCGGACACCGGCGAGGAGGCGGGGCCTCCCATCGATCTTCCTGCGGGGATAACAACGCAACAGTTGGGTCTGATTTGCAATGCCCTGCTGAAAAATGAGGAAGCCACTCCCTACCTATTTTTTGTGGGCGAGGACGAAATAAAGAAGAGCCTAGAAGACACATTGGACTTGGCCTCGGTGGACACAGAAAACGTAATAGACATTGTCTATCAGCCCCAAGCCGTTTTCAAAGTGCGCCCTGTGACAAGATGCACAAGCTCCATGCCGGGTCACGCTGAGGCCGTCGTTTCCCTTAATTTCAGCCCTGATGGAGCTCATCTGGCCAGTGGAAGTGGCGACACGACCGTACGTTTGTGGGATCTCAACACGGAGACGCCCCATTTCACCTGCACGGGACACAAACAATGGGTACTCTGCGTGTCCTGGGCTCCTGATGGCCAGCGCCTGGCCAGCGGCTGCAAGGCGGGTTCTTTAATCATCTGGGATCCAGAGACCGGCCAGCAGAAGGGACGACCGCTAAGTGGACACAAAAAACACATCAATTGCCTCGCCTGGGAGCCATACCACCGGAATCCAGAGTGCCGGAGACTAGCATCAGCCAGTGGAGATGGTGACTGCCGGGTTTGGGACGTGAAACTAGGGCAGTGTCTAATGAACATTGCCGGTCACACAAATGCTGTGACAGCAGTGCGCTGGGGGGGAGCAGGCCTCATTTACACGTCCTCCAAGGATCGCACGGTGAAGATGTGGCGGGCAGCCGATGGCATTCTGTGTCGCACTTTTTCCGGACACGCACATTGGGTGAATAACATCGCCCTGAGCACGGACTATGTTTTGCGCACAGGTCCGTTTCATCCGGTGAAGGACCGATCCAAGAGTTATTTGAATATGAGTAGTGAGTATTGGTGGTTCATAATTATGATTTTCTATAAACCTTTCAAATTCATTATAGCTGAGGAGCTCCAGGAATCAGCTTTGAAACGCTTTCAGGCCGTGTGTCCCGATGAGGTGGAATCGTTGGTTTCCTGCTCGGACGACAACACTCTGTACCTCTGGCGCAACAACCAAAACAAGTGTGTGGAGCGGATGACGGGACACCAGAATGTGGTAAACGACGTGAAGTACTCGCCGGACGTGAAGCTGATTGCTTCCGCGTCGTTCGACAAGTCAGTGCGTCTGTGGAGGGCCACTGACGGCCAGTATATGGCCACCTTCCGAGGTCATGTGCAGGCTGTGTACACCTTAGCTTGGTCAGCCGATTCTAGGTTGATAGTTTCGGGTAGCAAGGATTCCACATTAAAGGGTGAGTGGCAACGAAAGAGAAAATATGTGTTATATTAATTTATGTTTTAATTTTAGTATGGAGTGTCCAGACAAAAAAACTAGCTCAGGAGCTGCCAGGGCATGCAGACGAAGTTTTCGGAGTGGACTGGGCGCCCGATGGGTCTCGGGTGGCTTCTGGAGGCAAGGACAAAGTCATAAAGCTGTAAGTAGTTCAAAGATTGAAAGTCGGCTTTAGTTTACAAGTTTATTTGTACAATTGTGGTTGAATCATTTCGTGAAAGGCATCTAAGGTACTTAAGACAATAAAATATTTTTAAATTTCTTTCAGATGGGCCTACTAGACGAGGAAACAATCTTCTACTGTTTATTAAAAAATCACGGAATAAAGCAAAGAACCTGAGTAGTCGACAATTGTATAAAATCTAAATGCTGTACTGCTTCAGACTCTGAACCGCCTGCGTGTAGCGTCTCTCGAAAGCTTCTGGGTTGGGAAAGTAGTTGCTCGGCACCGCCGATTCGGATTGGAGTGCTCGCTCGGCGGCTACAAAGCCGGCCGCCACACAGTGGTCCAAGTCACGGCCCTGCAACAGGGTGCTGATGAAGCCCGCGCAGAAGCTGTCGCCTGCTCCCGAGACATTAACAATGTTTTCGACCTGCGGAGCAGCATAGAATCGTGTGCAGTGAGGTGACCCTCGTTTCTCCAGATCCAACAGCAGATTGGCATCGGAATCAGCATCCTGCCGGTAGCTGAGTAGTACGCCGTGGTTTCCCAACGTGGCAATGATGCAGTTGAAGTGGCAGTCGATCATCTTGATCAATGACGTCGCGTGCTGAAGAAGCTGTTCTCGGGGGAGTTTGGAATCAGGCTTCCACTCGACAGTCTCGCCCGTTATGACCTCGGCAATGGTTTTCAGTTCGTTGATGTTCGGCTTGATGAGGCGGATGTTCTTTCTCAGCTCCGGAGGCAGTTTAAATGGCTTGCCCGCTATGAACATATCGGTGGGCTCAAAGAAGACGGGAATTTTGTGTTCTTCGGCCTGCTGTAAGATGCTCGCCATCGTTTGCTCGGAGATATTGCTGTCCATGATGATTATGGGGGCTTGACCGAAGAATTTTTGGTGCGCATGGATTGTTTCTGGCGTGATCGTTTCATGGATCTCCATGTTTCCGAGAATGATCTTGCAGTCGCCAAGATTGTCGAACATAACGGAGCACAACGACGTTGCTTGGTTTTCCTGCACCGAGACGCCGCGCTGCAGCGCCGGGTGCATCATTTTAAGCAGAGAGTAGCCCATCTGATCGTTTCCCACGGTGGAGATGAAGTTTACATCACCATGCAGCTTGTAAATGCCTTCGGCAATGTTGCGTCCTACTCCTCCGGCGGCTTGTTTCGCTATTGCGGAGTAAGTTGATCCATCCAACTTCATATCGCGGCTCTGGTCATTTACTTTGAATGATAGATCGAGAATGGAAGCTCCCACGACCAGAGGCTTAGTGGTGTTTTTGTTAACACCACCTCCTTCAACCGGAACCATGCCGGGACCTTTTTGGCGCGCAACTGCAATCTCAGCCGCCACCTTGGCATTATTTTTGATCAGCGCAATGTTAGACTTAAGGCTGCTCCCCTTAGTGATCTCGGCGATGGCAGATAGCAGAAAGGGAGTCACTTCCTTGCCGAAAATACCCTTAGCTTTGGCATCGGCGGTGGCCTCCTGGATGGCTTCCTCAATTTTTTCCTTATCGGCCGCAAACTCTTCGGGCAGAGGCACTCCAATCAGGACCCCTGATTGTAAGTTCAGTTCCTTCCAAGAGCGAAGCAGTTCCGCTGCCTCCTGAGGATCGGCCATGTCATATTGCACCTTGCAGCCACTATCCCGAGTGTAGAAGTCAGGAAAAACACCGCCAGGACTTCCTAGTGTCGTCACACACACTCCCTGCGTTTCCAGGTACTCCAGAGTGCGAGGTATGTCCAAGATGGACTTGACGCCACTGCAGACTACAGCCACTGGGGTGCGACCGAGTTCTGTCAAGTCAGCGGAGACGTCCAAAGAAACATGGCCCTCTCGGTGAACCCCGCCGATACCTCCTGTGGCAAACAATTCGATTCCAACTTGGTGGGCAATGATCATCGTACCCGCGACTGTAGTACCGCCGCTCATTTTTCGGGAAACAACGAGGGGCAGATCCCTTCGAGAGCACTTGATGACACGGTCCCGCGGTGTCTGGGCGAGCAGGCAGAGCTCTTCTTTCGTGAGACCGACTTTTATCTTTCCATCCAGAATCGCAATGGTAGCAGGTATGGCCCCATGGCTTCGAACCACCTCCTCTACGGCCAAAGCGGTGGTCACGTTCTCCGGCATCGGCATTCCGTGTGTGATGATCGTGGATTCCAGGGCCACCAACGGCTGACGCTGGTGCAGCGCCTGTCGCACCTCCGGATGCAGCACAATGTGCTCATGCTTTCTTTCCGTGGTGAGATTCCTCCGCGCCAGTCGCAGGGCGGTAAAAAGGCAGCGCCTCCGGAAAAGCATTGTAAACAAAAAACAAACGCATGGACACGCCTGCTGATCGCTAAGCTGTGCTGCCAACCTGCTTGATAATGTCCATCTTTTTTGGAGTAGCAACTTGTTAAGCTTAGATATATAAAACAGATTAAATAAAGTTTAATAGTGATGTCAATGCTTAATTATTACATATTTCATATTACAGGTCCTATTTAATTTATCATTTAATCTATTAATTTGGTACCCCTTCTGCCTGGCATGTCGTTATCACAGCTCTCTAATCTGGTCACACTAAACTAGAATAGCGCGTCTGTTTGTAAATAGATCCTAAAAATTGTTTATAATTTAAAAATCCCTAATAAAAGGCCTTTCGAAATAGAGCCATGGAACTGGACCAATATGCATACAACTTGAAGTATTTTAATTTCAACGCCCTACAAGTTTCAGCAGAAAGTAAGTACTTTTTCTCGACAAGATCATTGTTTCTAAGGAGTACTTACTTTCCAGGGGAGTACCTAGTGCGGGAAGTGGCCAGGAAAGTCGTGGGTCATGCCATTAAACAAATCGGAACTCCAGCAACCTCTTCTTTATTAGAAGCTCAGAAAGAAACAGTGGTGGAGTGCATTGTTAAGTCCTGCAGTAATAAAATAAAATGCCTTAGGGATCTGGACAGCAAGGTATTCCGCATTCCGTCGCATGTACTACAGTTCCAGGACATTCGCTTGTCTCATCAGTACACCAGCGAGGACGAGGAGCAGCGTTTGGTTACCTTAGAAGCGCTGAAAGCGCGTTACAGGGAAGTGAGTACTTAGACCTAATGAGAACCTGACCTGAACCAAATTTTTTTCGTAATCATGCAGTTGATGTAGTCCGGTTGCTTTTTCAAAAAAAAATATATATATGGTTGAAAATATATATTAAAAAAGTTGGAAATATATATATACTATATATTTAATAGTTATATTTAACATACATATATAACTTTCGTCTCCGCGACTTTTTTAAGAGCCCATATTGTACACTGTTACTACAGTGTAGCCCATACACTTGCTTGTATCCTTCACCTGAATATAGTCGTCCGTCTGTATCCTGTAACTGTCCTGTATCCTGTAATCCTTATTCGTTTTAACATCGTTCTTTGTTTTTCTTGTTATCTAATTTAAGAACATGGGTATGCAAGCACGACTTTTTCTGGAGGAGAAAAAGTATGAGGACATGGAAGATATCATTAACGAAGAGATGGAATTCCAAAGCCGCATCCATGAGGCTCGCAACCTCTACAATTTATCAAAGTTACCAAAGTTTTTCTCTCAAATTTCCGTTGAAGGGAAAGATATTAGGAGCAAGTCAGGCGACTTACCCCCATTTAATTAGTTTTAAGCCCTATACATTTGATCTGATTTGGCCAAAATATAACCTTTTTATCTAACAGCAATTCTTTTCATCTGGGAAGCGAGTACATAATTATTACATGTTATTTAACGAAATAGTAAACCAATACCATAGGCTTTTGGATTACGAACTCTGCTTAGGTTTGAAAACTCCAAAGACTCAAAGAGGGAGGTATTTTATTAGGTTCTGCTCTTTTTATCAAAGTCGGATGACTCAAAAAATCTATCTATCGCAGACTGTGAGGGATTTCAAAAGTTAAACTAAAGCGAAAAAAAGTCGCAATCTATTTTCGTAAATCTCCATCCACCTATCCCATCTCCACTCCGGAGAGACGTCTGCGGTTCAACAGCCGCTTGAGCAGCCCCACGCCGAGGTGCCGCATAAACTAAGTAAAGCAAAATGAATCGAAGCATCGGTTAGTGGAGGATACGTGGAGCTATTTTTAAGCACTGGGGCGACATTTTTCTTATTTTGCGAAAAACAAATATGTGCAAAAAGAACAAATAAACAAAAATAAAGAGCAGGCCGCACGATATTAATAAAAGCAGCGCTGCTTCTGCGTTGGATTCGGGTGCGGGATTTTGGTTCTGCGGACCGATCGTGGGCCCGTCCACTGCATTCGTGATTTCGCCCGTGGAGTTGCACATCGTCGTCGTCGGGATCGTGTTGCTGCTACTACTTGCGGAGAAAGTGAGGTGATTAGTTCCTGGCCATTTTATGTAATATATAATCTCACTTACAAACTTTAATGCATTCGCTATCTAGAATTTATAGGCGCAATGAATGTGGAGAAGCTAAAGCGCCTTCAGGCGCAGGTTCGGATCGGGGGCAAGGGTACTCCGCGTCGCAAGAAGAAGGTCATGCACCAGACGGCGGCCACTGACGACAAGAAACTTCAGAGTTCGCTAAAGAAGCTGTCCGTCAGTACGATTCCAGGCATCGAGGAAGTGAACATCATTAAGGATGATCTCACGGTCATCCACTTCAACAACCCCAAGGCCCAGGCCTCGCTGTCGGCCAATACTTTTGCCGTTACGGGGCACGGAGAGACCCGGAAAGTGGTGGAAATGCTGCCGGATATTTTGCCCCAGTTGGGACAGGAAACCGTTGTCCAACTAAGGATGTATGCCAACTCTATGAACAACCAAAAGGCTGCTTCCCGTGCGGAGGGATCTGCTGCTGCTCCCGCCGAAGAGGAGGATGACGTTCCACTCCTAGTCGGCGACTTCGACGAGGTGGCCAAAGTGGAGGCAGCGGCTAAGCAGGAATCTTCACAAAAGCCGCCAACAGAAGATAAGCAAAAGCAGCAGGCTCCCAAGAAAGATAACCGGAAGAAGGCAGAAGAAAAGCAACCAGTCGAAGAAACAACGACCAATGAGAAGGCTAAGGAGAAACAGGAAAACAAAAAACAAGCGAAGAGTGGAAAGAAAATGGAAAACCAAGGAAATAAGGAGAAGCAAAACAAAAATAAGGACCAGTCTAAAGCACAGTCCATTTCGGAAGAGAAGACCAACAACTCAAAGCCTTCAACCGAACCTATACCACCGAAGATGACAGAAACTCCTAAACCAACTGCTCAGGATCAACAAAAACCTGAACCATCTCAAACGCCCGTACCAAATGCTGCTGTCCAAACTACTGAAGTGAAACCCATTGAATCAAAGGTCGAATCCAAACCTGAAAAGAAGTCTGAACCACCAAAGCCCAATGGGCCGAATGTGGATACGGAACTCGCTAAAAAGATAGTTACTCCACAGCCCGTGGGAGAAAAGGCTGAGAACAAGTCCTTACAGCAACAGCAGGAACCGAACAAGCCTCAGGCTTTGGCCGCGGCTTTACCGCCTTCTCCTACTCAAACTCTCGCCCAGATTGTGGCATCGGAATCATCTGGACCATCAACTCCAGCTGCTCAGACCCAAGGAAAACAGGACGCGGATGCAGTTTGCGTGCCTAAAAGTGTAGAAGAAACAAAGGACCTACCACCACCAGTCAATACTCCCACTCCTCTTCCTGATTCCCAAAATGATAAACCAAAATCGCCTGTGGAAAAGCCCAAGCTAGCAACGCCTCAGAAATCTACGCCAGAGAGGCAAAGTCCACCCACTCAGCCCCAGGAGAAAGCAAAGCAGAAGGCTTCAGCGGCCCAGGCCCAGGCCAAACAAGTGACGCCTCCCATTAATGAGAGTGTTAAAGCAGCTGCGACAGCTAAAGCTCCTGCGTCTGCTCCTTCGGGTCCTGCCCCAGTTCTTGAACCAGCTTCTCCTGTTGCCGCTTCTCTCCCAAAAGCATCATCACAGCCTGATGAAGAAATCAAAAAGGAGTCGCCTCCTCCTGCTAAGAAAGAGTCGCCACCTCCTGCCAAGAAAGAGTCGCCTCCCCCTGCTAAGAAAGAAACGCCTCCTCCTACTAAGAAAGAGTCGCCACCTCCTCCTAAGAAAGAGTCTCCTCCTCCTGCTAAGAAAAAGACGCCTCCTCCTGCTAAGAAAGGATCGCCACTCGCTGAGGTGACACAAGTTTCACCCAAAGCCCCTTCTGCAGCCCCTTCGCCTCCAACAACCGAGGCGGCTTCTCCAGCGGCTCCCTCGACGCCACCGCCTTCTCCCATATCGGTACCCGTCTCAGCCGCAGCTGGGACACCTCCTTCGCCAGTAACGGAGGCTCCGTCCCCACCATTACCTACTCCAGTGACTCCACCTGGACAAAAACAGGGCCCAGCAGCCGCAAAAAAACAGGATGCCTCCCAGAAACCACAACAAAAACAGCCATCCTCGAGGCCTGGACCACCACAACAAGGTCAGCAGGGGCCGCAAAAGCAGCTACCAGGTGGAAACAAACAGCAGAACCCCAAGCAGGTAAACCCAAATGCTAAAGCAGGTACGACCCCAAAGCCGTCAGCGGCTCAGGGCCCACGCCCATCGCCTCCAAAGACATCTAGCTCAGCAAATCAGCAACCACAGACCAAAGGATCCAACAAGGCACCATCTCCAAAGCAGGCCCCACCTGCTGGTGGGCAACAGAAGACTGTGACGCCCTCCTCGAAGACCTCGCTCTCGCCGAAAGCGCCTGCCTCTCCAAAAACTGCTTCCCCGAAAGCAGGTACTCCGCCAACTCCAAATCCTACTCCCGCTGCCGCAGCCAACCCGGCTCCGGATGCCTCCAGCCCAGCAGCTTCCAATTAATTAGTGACACCTTCGGTCGGTTTTCTGCATTTTGAATACAAATGCATTTTGATGCTTTGACTTTTCAGCTTTCCCTAATCAGTCAGACATATTTACGGAACCCCCTTACCTTTATATTTCGAATAAACTTTTGACTCACAAATATTAGCTTATCTTGAAGACTTTAAATATTTATTTTACATTTGATTCTTTAAGTTTAACCCACAATGACGTGCAGTTTTTGAGCCGTTGGAAATCAGAGCGGTTGAAAAGCTCAACTATTGTACATACAAACATATACATAAATATGTGCAGATAAAACGTATCGATAATAATTACACCTCTTAAGCCATCCTATGACTACTATCAGGGCTTGCGTTACGCAATGGTAATGTTCGACCTCGCCTACTTGGCCTTTTGGCTGCTGGAGGGCTTCTCCTCCTGCACTTCCTCGATCCTTGCCTGCTCACTCTCCGGGTTCAATTTCCAGATGGAGTAGTTCAGGGCAGTGGCGAAGCTCAGCCAGGCGAGGTAGGGTACAAAGATCAAGCCGGCGACCTTGTTCACCTGGTAGAAAAGCACTCCACAAGCGCCTGCAGTGGCCGTTAGGGCCACGATGTCTATGAGTCCCTGTGACCGGATAAAGGGGATTAGCGACGACCACGTGGAAGAGATATGTATGTTACTTACGCCTTTGATATTGTGCTGACCGAAGAAGATTGGAGACCACGCCCAATTTAGAGCCAACTGGGTGCCGTAGACCAGAAGGGGAAGCTTAGCGTCGCCCGAGAATCCGCCACCATCCCGCCACACCAAGTACGACCCGTACCCCATTCCGGCGTAAAGCGTTGTCCACACCGGGGCAAATACCCAGTTGGGGGGCTTGAAGGACGGGAACTTCAGGTGGGCATACCAGTTCTGAAGGTGCTTTCGAGTGAGGCTGCCATTGTAGAGGCCACCCAGGTTGGGCAGGATGATGGCGCCTGCGATTCTTAGTAAGTCTCCACCACACGGACGGGGCTCGGCCATTGCGAACTGCTTCGGAGTTGGTTTAGCGATTGAGGCGCAATATCAGATAGCAGCGATATAGTTGGTTTGTTTGCCGGTGATTTCATTCGCGTTTATTGGTATTGCGTGTGGGTCTCCCAGCTGTTTGCATGAGTAAGTCTGGTGATGAGCACCTAGCTGTGGACTTTGGCGCCTTTGCTGGGTGAATGGCTAACGTTTTGATAAATTCAAAGATAGGAACTCTACACTAAATTCTTTATTAATGTATGGGTTGAATGTATTTCCAATTACTCCCCAGACTTGTTGAATGGTAATTATTCCCTGAGTGAAGCAATGAATAAGCCCCAAAACTCAAAAATCTAGAGTGTCTGAAAACTTGTCGAAAAACTTCATCATAACTTATAAAAGGCGACAATATAGTAGCATACTTTTGGGGGAGAGACGATTATAAAATCTGAGATTATATAAATATTGAACCGACTGCTGAAAGATTAAAATAACGAGTCTAACACGCATTTATTTAGTAACATTTTACTAAGAGTTGGAAGTACAAAAGTTTGATACATAATACCCGATGGGGCGTTGTCGTTAAACTAAAGGAATATGAATTACATTAGAAACTAATTATAATCTACGGACTAAGGCAGTTAGGGTATGTTGGCGAGTTTCCCAATAAGTTAAAGAATGTTTTATGTACTTAAATGGCAATTAAAAGCAGTGGCTGGAACTAACTTAATATAGCACATTGAAAAAATTTACACAAGTAAAAGATTTTAAAACAAACAATGTGGTACAGATACATTTGCTTTTAAAGCCTATTCGAAGGTGCGCGTAGGATTGTTGGCCTTGATGCAAGGCGATCAGATAGCAACTACTAAGGGCCATATTATCCTAGAGCGTAAGTCTATGGTTCACGATTATCTTACTATCCTGTCACGTGTTCGTTGCATATTGCGAAATGGATTGGGATTACTTAACTTTAGCAAATGCGATTTTACATAAAGATTACACATTGGTATGGAAAGGCTCCTACATTGCCACAAAGTCTAAACATACTCCTCCGGCGCAGTCTGTCCATTGGAAGCCATCCGCAATGTGTTCCCCGCCTGCGGCTGCTGCTGCTGTTGCTGCTGCTGCTGCGGACTTGTGGTGTCCGGGAGCTCGGCAATGTCCTTGAAGACGCCCATGAGGTTCTCGTAGCTGGGACCCCAGTTCAGCAGGTACTCCCAACCCAGAGTGGTGGCGGAGGGAGAGGCAGCTCCGTTGGCCTTGCGGTAGATGCCGCTCAGGTGGTTGGCGATGTCGTCGTCGCTGGCAACTAGAGTGCTCAGCGATCCATGAAACGACGATTCGAAGCCGTCATAAGCGTGCGGTGGAATGGGTGGGGTTTTGATCACGCTAGGGTTCCGACTCGTCTCGCTGTTGAGAGCCCTTGCCACAGGGCTTCTTCCATCCAGGAGACTCTTGGTGGTCGAGTATTTCCCATCGCCACTGAGGCTGTTGTTGTCGTACTCGATCTCGGAGCAGGTGAAGCTGTCGTTGCCACTCTCGTCCGTGGATGTAGAGCTGTGGGCGTCGACATCTGTATTGTGCATGCCCCCGCCCAAGGACATATGGAGGGCGCTGCTGGGAACTCGTGGGGCTTCACTACTGGACGAAACTGCGTCAAGGGTGGACACCAGGCTACAGGTTCGAGGACGGGCGTTGAGTCTCTCGATCTCCTCGGCAGTCAGGCCCATGGAGTTTTGCGTCGGAGGCTGTTGCGGGACTCCTGGCTTCTGACGGCTGGCACTAGAGCCCTGGCCGGACATCTGCGACATAACCGGACTGTTCAGGCTGCGTTCACTGTTGCTGTGCAGAACATCCTTTCCCACGCCACCGGAGCTCGATGTCGTTGCCAGGAGAGCGCTCTGCAATGGCTTGCCGGAGATATCGTGCAGTGTCAGGATGCGTGGTTGCTGGGAACTCAGCTCAGAGCTGGGCGAGAGTCGTGCCAAGGGCGTACTTTGGTGGGTACGCGATGAGTTTGTCGGCGGTGGAGGAGGCTGGTTGCCCTGGCTTCTGGGACCGAATGGGGCGCCGTGGCGGTGCTGCTGTTGAGAAGCTGCACTCTGATGCTTATGGTGCGTGTAGGCGGAGACTGGGGGAGCTGTCGCCTTGTACTTGCGCATGCCCCCCGCCTCGCGATAACCCTTGTAGTGATACACGATGTCGATGTCCGACGGGGCGATAGAGCTGGCGTTTTCGAGGTCGTAGTGTTCCGGGTACTCGGAGCCCATGTCCATCGAGCTAGCGTGGTCGAGCGGCAGGGGATGAAGGGGCGGAAGCGGCAGGCGGTGTTCATCTCGGATCAACGGGCTCTTTCCCACGACCTCACGCTCAATGATGTCTGGTCGCTGGGGTCTCTGCTGTGCCTGAGGGCACTCGGACGCAGGAGTCAGTTCGCTGCGGTCTTTAAACTTTTTGGTAAGAAGTTCGGGACCCACCAGGTGGTGTGCTCCTACAGGCGGGCGCAGGTGCTCTGCGGTTCCGACTGGCGGCGAGGGTACTTCGCTGGGGTGAAGATTGCGGGCCAAAACATGGTCAATCTGACTGGGGGGCACTGACGGCGCCCCAACCATAACTCCCCCAGGATGCTTAAGCTTGAAACCGGGCACTCCGCAGCTCAGACTGCCAATCTTCTCCTGTTTGCCTCGAAAACGGTAGATCACGTAGGACCCTAGTATGGCTACCACCAGAATGACGAAGAACACTATCACCAGAGTGATTCCTATACTAAGGGGATCCGCTACCTGGGCAGCATCCATACCAATAACGCCACTACATCCCGATTCCACTTTTCCATGTAGTCGCACCTCTGGGAAAATGCTGCCGGATCCGTTCAGCGGCTGCATTTCGTTATTCACAGTGAAGTTTGCGATGCAGCCGTTGAATGTATCCTTAGGTTGGTCCTCCTGTAGCGATCCGCCCACGCACAGAGCGCTTAGGTAAGGATCCAGAAAATCGTGGACGCCTGCGATGTCGAGCTCATCCCCCACCTGACGACCGTCTATATGCACCCGGAGACTTCGGCTTTCGCTGTGCAAGCTCACGTTGTGCCACTTGCCATCATTTAGAGAGGAAGGCTCCTGCACCGTCATGTTAATGGCCAGGTGTTGCTTGGAGAAGTAGACTAGGCGGCCTTCTTTCAAGGTCAGCGAGGTGAACATCTGGTTAGTGGCTGCGTAGAGTAAGTGTCCATCCGGCTTAAAGGTGCGGAATAGAAAACTCAGCATCTTGGGCGCCTCGTAGATCTGGGAAGCTATAGTCAGGTTGTGAATGTCGCCTCCCACTTGCCTGCGTTCCCGCGGGTAATTGTTCGACCAAGCATTCTTCGCGCTGTACATGTTTTCCAGTAGCTGCATCCGGCGGTACAGCTCCGAGACTCGAAATTCTACAAATGCTCCATTGGTCAGAGTCACAGGCTCCAGAGACTCGGAGCAGTCGGGGGACTGGAGTTGACCTCCACACTGACAAAGGGAACTGGACCAACGGTCAATGCACTGACCAGCAAATCCTCCACAGCGTTCTGCAGCCAGTGAGGGCTGGCAGGCTTGCCGATTGCATCCAGGCAAGATGCCCCTGTGCTCGAGCGGAGAGCTCAGGTTCAGAGCTCGTCCTCCGATGTGTACACTGTGCAGGCATCCCACTAGGTCATCGCTATGCACCTGGCCTGGGCGCTCCAGGAGAGGATCCGCAGAGGCCAAGCCTCCAATTAATAGAGGTTGTTTGTTAAAGTTGAGAGTTCTGTTTAAAACAGAGGAAAAAGGGGATTAATATTCTCCGATTGAAAGACTCCAACGTCAGGAAATTCGATATCTACTTACCCAACAGGACCCACTTCATTGGCGTAGCAGGTGGTGTCTCCGGGTGTGCACTCCGCACAGGATTCTCCAGAGTCAGTGCATTTGGCCACACTTAGCGACATTACTCTTCCATTGCGAGTGGCAGTCACCTTGTGCCATCCTCCGTCCGCGAGGTCCCGTCCAGCGATCACGGTGGTAATGGCAGTGCGAGCTGCTCCAGTGGAGAAGTACGCCAAGCCCTGCACCAGTTCAATGGCCAGGAAGTCGGATCGCCCTCCACTCGGGGTACCGTAGTTGTAGAGAAGCAATGAATTGGCCTTTGTGGTGGCGAAGACGATCGATATGTCGTTAGAGGTGGCGTCCAATGAGGGGAAGGCCATGTACGAGAGGGGCTCGAAGCCGTAGCTAAACCGCTCACAGTGACGTCCGTACCGGCCGGAGGAGCAGTTGCACTTGTAGCCCGGCTTGAGGCTGACACAAAGGCCTCCGTGCATGCAAGGATTCGGCCGGCAAGAGTCCGACACAACCTCGCAGTGGGTGCCTCGGAACCCGGGGCGGCATAGGCAGAAGTACGAAGAGCCGTCGGCGCTACGTTGACAGCTTCCGCCATTGCCACAAGGCTTGCTCCAACAGATGTCGCTGCGCTCCTTTTCGCACTGCTTTCCTTCTCGGTTGGGCGGGCATACGCACTGGAAGTCGCTACCAAGCCGTCTACAATGGGCTTGCTGATGGCAGGGATTGGGTACGCAGGGGTCCTGCCTGCGACTGCACTGTTCGCCCGAGAACCCGTTGGAGCACAGGCAGCTGTAGTCGTGCACCATCCGCGGTCCCGACATGACGAGATTTGGGCTTTCGACGATGCTGAATGTGTGCGCGTCTAACAGTCTAATGTTCGCACTACACACACCTCCGTTCTCGCAGATTTGTGGCTCCTTGCATGGCTCGTATCCCACCACGACGTCCTTCTGCATGAGCTCCGACAGTGCTGAGCGCTTCTCCCGCAGCCGTTCAATGACCTCCTTAGGCTGCTTGTAGCTGCGCCTCTCGAGCTGCACGGCCAAAAAAAGCTCCAGATTTATGGGCAAGTCATCGGATCCTCCAACTGTCTCTCCTCGGTTCTCCAGAAGGCTGTACAAAAACACGTCCCCATGGACAATACTGGACCTGAGCACCTCCAGTACTTGTCTATAGTGTTGAGACAGGAAGTGGGAGGCCGTGGTGTTCCTCACCAGCACGGAAACTGTGTTCGCCAGGGTGTCATTGTCGAAGCTCTGGAAGACCACGCTCAACTTGTTGCTCACGTCCCCGTGCTTACCGTCGTTGCCCGTGTAGCTGGAGGAGAACGAGGAGGGCGTAGTGTGCGAAGTCGTGAAGAGCTCACAGGCCCTCGGAATGGCCAGCTGCAGGTGGTTTTGTGCCGGAGATGTCGGCAAGCGACAGTGATAGTCGCCCACGATGTCGATGTCGTTGGGTCGAATGTCCGCGAGCTTGATGTTTGTTGGCAGATCTCCATTGAACAAGGTAACAGCCACTTGCAGGTTCCGTGTCGTGGATGGGTTGTCGTTCTGATCCAGGACCATAATGGTGATCATGTGCTTTGACTTTTGCATAGGCTTCCCGCTATCTTCCACCTCTATAACAGCTTCTAGCGTAGGAGTGATTTCGCGGTCAAAGCTGGTAGTGGACTTCACCAATCCTGAGCTTCTATCCACACTCAGCCAGGACTTGTGCTTTCCGCCCACAAGCCGGTAGAAGAAGGGACCACCTTAGAGAAATATTCAGTTAGTTTTGTGTTACAGTTTTGTGTTATCTTTTCTAAGAACTTACCATTGCGCGGGAGATCCGGGTCTGAAGCCGCCAGGGTCATAATGGATGTGCCGGACGGCTCATTCTCGGATATATAGCCCATAAGTCCTTCGCGAGTGAAGGTAGGAGCATTGTCGTTCACGTCGTCCAATTCTATGCGCACCGTGGCACTTCCTGTCTGCGGAGGCAGACCCATATCTATGGCCCCAATCACTAGGTTGTAGTGGGCGGTCTCCTCCCGGTCCAGATGAGCTGCCGTGCTAATCTCTCCGCTCTGAGCATCTATCCTGAAGCTCTGCTTGAGATTGCCATTAATGATGGAGTAGCTGAATTGATTATTTTGTGGTCGAATGTCCTTGTCTACAGCCTTGACTGTGATAACCTTTGTGCCAATGCCAGCTGCCTCCGAGATGGTCGCGGAATAGTGGCGCTTAATGAACTCTGGTGGGTCGTTTCCGTCCTGGATTGAGATTATTACTTGGGCCTCGTCGGTGTCGTTGCCCCGAATACTGCCGTAGTTCTTGGCCAATACCGTGAGGGCGACCCGGTTTTGAGTTTCTCTGTCCAAGTGCCGCGCCACATGGATCACACCCGTATTGGTGTTTATTCCGAAACCCCGTTCGTTGCTGGCACCAACTAGCAGGTAGTAGACGCGTCCGTCCTCTCCACTGTCCTTGTCCGTGGCTTGGACAGCACCCACGTGGGTACCAATGGCTGACGTCTCCGACACGTCGAAGTGGAACACAGGCTGCACAAAATGCGGATAGAATTCGTTAACCCCAAGAATGTGGATGAAAAGTGTGGCATAGCTTTCCATGATCGTGTCTGGGTTCTTTGCCTTTAGTTGGAGGGTGTAGGTTCGCCGCTCTTCGTAATCGAAGGAGACCGCCGATGAGATGGTCCCGGTACTGGAGTTCACGCTGAAAAAGTGCCGGTCTGTACCGGTCGGCAGGAAGGAGTAATGAATGATGGCATTTCGGGGCGAATCCTTATCCGTCGCCACCGCTTGAAACACAAAAGTGCCGATTGGCTTGTTCTCGGCCAAGTACCCGTGGTACTCCTTTTGGGCGAAAAGTGGTGGATTGTCGTTGACGTCTGTCAGAATTATAGTAAGCATGGCTACCGCGGACAGGGGCTGGAATCCCAGGTCCTGCACCGTGATGTTTAGGTGGTACTCTTGAGTCGTATCAAAGTCCAGCGGCTGTCGAATCACGATTCCCCCAGTGCGTTCGTCCACGCTGAACTTTCTAAGTTCGTTTCCACCCGAAATGGCGTACCGCAGCATTCCGTTAGGCCCCACATCAGCATCCGTAGCTCCAACTGTGAGGATTGTAGAGCCGACTGGCTCGTTCTCCGGCACAATCACCTGGTAGGTGTTTGCAGGAAACTTGGGTGTATAAAGGTTTTCCCCTGTCACCTCCACAGTTACGCGGGTCTGATCAAACTGGGGAGGCGCCCCCCGATCCGTGGCTCGCACGTCTAGCTCGAAACGAGACTGTGGAGGCGACAGAAGCGACTTGGCCACAGCGATCCAACCGTCGTGTGTTCCAATTGTAAACATGGAGCTTAGGTTGGCGCTCACCAAAGAGTACTCGATCTCGTTGGCTCCAAACACTTGTCCGTCCGTGGCGTGGACCCGCACGATCTTCTGGCCGCGCCTCGCATTCTCCGGAACAGGCACGAGATACTCGGCCCTCTCAAACTTTGGGGGGTTCTTGTGGGCATCTACAATGTTGATGTTCACCAAGCATTCGGAATACAGTGGTGGCTTTCCATTGTCCGTAGCAAGCACGGTGAGGGCGTACATGTTTTCGGGGGATCGCACATATTGCGAGTGCCTAAAGTGAACCATCTACAAAATATTTATAGTTAGTTATCTCAATTTCGATTCCTAATATCAACTACTAACCTTTTTGCTGAAAATTTCGCCAGTAGCCGGATCTATGCTGAACATGAGCGACGACTGCTGCAGTGAGTACGAAATGACCGAGTTGGGGCCCTGCTTGTCCCGGTCTGTAGCTATGATCTGGCCCACCAAGGCGCCCGAGAGCTGCAATTCTGGAAAACTGAAGCTGTAGAAACTATGCTCGAACTCTGGGGCATTGTCGTTTTGGTCCTGGATCGTGATCGTGATTGGAGTAGCTGCGCGCCAGGCCCCGTCGGACACCTCCACTTTAAGAATGTACTCTTCCTGCTGCTCGCGATCCAGGTGCCCGGCCACTGTGATGTTGCCACTTTGTGTATCGATGCTGAATTTTCCGCCGGGATTTTCGGTAAACGAGTAAGAGGCGTTCGCGTTCGGGCCCAAGTCCAGATCAGAAGAAGTCACGCGGATGACAAAACTGCCGATTTCTGCATTTTCGGTCACGTTTAACGAAAACAGACGTGTGAACTTTGGCGGATTGTCGTTCTTATCCAGCAGGTGGAGCAGCACGCTGGACGTGCTCGTTAGCTGGGGTCGCCCCTGGTCCACAGCCTCCACTACCAGCGCGTACTCCCCCAGCTCCTCGCGATCAAGTCTTGTAGTCGTATGGATCTCGCCCGTGTCACTGGCTATCTCGAAGGTGCCCTTGTAGTCGTCCTTCAGACGGTAACTGACTTTTCCATTGTCGCCGGAGTCTCGGTCCGTGGCTTTGACCACAGCGATAAGTTGCGGCGGAGACTCTTCCTCGAGGACCTCGGAGTTGTAGATGAGACGTTCCATCACTGGTGCATTGTCGTTGGTATCAGTCACGTTGAGAGTCAACAAGGTCACACTGCGCAAGCTGGGTCTGTCGCCATCGACCGCCTCCACCCAGATCTCGTACAGGGGTAGTAGTTCGTAGTCAAGACCATCGGCCCCCACGCTAACAACTCCGCTGTTGGGGTCCACCCGCACCGCATCTCCCAGGTTGCCGCCCGCGACACCGTAGTGCACGCTGCCCACCATTCCCTTTTTGGGCGACGTGGCACTAACTTGGGTAATCACCTTGCCCGGCTGCACATCCTCCGCCAGTGTGAAGTAGCTGTTTTCAATGTAGGCGAAGGTCGGAAACTGTTCAGCAGGACGCAGGAACACAGTCAGCTCAGCCGATGAGTGCTGTGGATATGCTCCTTGGTCGGTGGCATGTACCATAATGCTGAAGGTTCCTTTGGCAGCAGCCTTGGCTTCGTTCTTAGGCACCAGCTTGGTACTCACCACTCCGGTTCCGGCGTTGATTTCAAAGTACTCCCGGTCCTTGCCGCTGATGCTGTACCGCACCATTGCGTTTTCTGCCGCATCCAGGTCCGCCGCCAGGGCTCCAAACACAAACTCCCCTGCACTCATCCTGTCCGGGAGGGTCACAGTGTATCGGCTGGCGTCGAAACTAGGAGCGTTATCGTTCACATCGCCCACATGGATTGTGAGGTTCACCGACGAAGCTCGCGGTTCTGTGACGGAACTGTCCTGTGCCATCAACGTGAGATGGTATACAGCGGTCTCCTCCCGATCGAGCGGCGTGCTTGTAGTTATGATACCAGTCTGGGAGTCGATGTGGAAGCGCATAATGTGATCGCCAAGCAGATTGAAGCGCAGTCTAGCATTCAGTCCTTCGTCCTTGTCCGTAGCTGTGGGACGGAGCACAAGGGTTCCTGCGGGTAGGTTTTCCTCAACAACAGCGTGGTAAGACTGCAGCTCGAAAATCGGTCCGTTGTCGTTCACGTCCTGTACCTCCACTCGTACAATGCCAGTGCCCGTAAGCGGTGGCGATCCTGTGTCCATAGCCACTAGCGTCAGAATGTACTCGCTCTGTCGCTCGCGGTCTAGTGGCTTCAGCAGCGAAATGTCTCCCGATGAGGCATTGATGCGAAACAACTCAGTGTCTCCCTCCTTGAGAAAGTATCGCACTTGAGAGTTGAGCGGAGGAGAGTCCGCGTCAAAGGCCTTTACCGTAAGTACATAGCCTCCGTTTGGCGGGACGGTGTTTTCCATGACCCGAGCCAGGTAGGGAGAATCAAGGAAGGTGGGACGGTTGTCGTTGATGTCCAGAATGATTATGGTCAGCTCAGCAGTGTCGCTAGCCGGGTTCTCCAGGTCGCAATCCTCAGCCTTTACAGTGAGCGTATAGCGGGACAAGCGCTCAAAGTTCAGGTTCTTAGCCACGCGCACCACGCCTGTGTCCTCACCGATCGTAAAGTCGTGGTTCGGGTCACCCATGACTATGGAAAACCGGATGCGACCGTTGGCCCCTTCGTCTATGTCAGTGGCGGAAACCTGTAGGACCATGGCTCCAATGCTGGCGTTCTCTGCCACAGACGCAGAGTACTGCTTCGGATCAAAGACCGGGGTGTTGTCGTTCTCGTCTAAGATTCGGACCAGGAGTTGTGTTTCCGCTTCCTGTGGCGGTTCCCACGATCTCGAGCTGTAATATTCAATAGGTAGCTGGCCCGCAATTCTCGGTCCAGGGCATCGGTTACGCGCAGCAAACCATCGGTTGGGTTAAGGGAGAAGGGAAGTAGTCCTTGTTCTAGTGTCTTTTCGTCTTCGAAGTAGGCCCCATTAAGGGTATAGTCGATGTATCCATTCCTTCCCTCGTCATTGTCGACGGCTTTTACGGCCAAAACCACAGTATTAACGGCCACGTTCTCCTTGACGGAAGTCTCGTTTACGGACACGAAAACAGGAGCCTCGTCGTTGATATCCTTGAGAAGTATCGTTACCTGCAGGTGGGATGAAATATGAAAAATATCGGATCAGTCGTGGTTTAGTCATTGACCAAGTAAAGAAAAACTGACCTTTGCTGTAGACGAGAGTCGTTGCTGCTTCTGGTGAGACAGGAAATGCTGCTGGTCCTGGTTTTGGTGGAACCGCCTGGGCGAGCGGTACTTCAGCTTGAGCTGCGTCTCCTCTAGCTCGCTAAAGCTGGTCACCTCGTCGGGACAGTCCTGGGCGGTCACTGTAAGGGTGTAGGTGGATCGTCGCTCCCGGTCCAGGTGACGGCGGGTGCGAATTGTCCCGTTGCTGTCGATTTCGAACTCGGCATCAGTATCCCCTGCCGTAATGCTGTAGGCGACGAGCCCGTTGTTGCCTGTATTGGATTAGGTAATGGAGTTATAAAAGGAGCAAAAATAAGAACATTTTGAGGAGGTTACCCGAGTCGATATCCTTTGCAGAAACACTGGCAACCTCTTTGCCTATGGGAGCATTTTCAAATATTTCGCTCGAGTAGCTCATGGGATCGAAGATGGGAGCATTATCGTTCAGATCGAGCACATTGCAGTATATCGTAATGGTGGTTGAAAGGCTGGGTTGGCCGTTGTCCTGTGCCTGGACAAGCAGGATGTAATGCTGCACCTGTTTGGAGTCAAATGAGAGGGGTGAGTCAGTTATTGTAGGGTGATCGTACGCGTTCTCACCTCTTCGTAGTCAAGTATGGAGGTCAGAGTCAGCATTCCCGTTTGTGGATTCAGACTGAAGATGTCGGTGGCCCAATCCGAGAATACGCCGTAAGAAACCTGCGCATTTTGTCCTAGATCCGCGTCTCTGGCCAAAATTTGGCCCACTTGATAACCCCTTGGCGCGTTTTCCGGAATGTCGAAGGAGTAAACCGTCTCTTCAAAAACAGGCGGGTTGTCGTTGGTATCGCTCACCTGAAATAATGTGGCATTATGGAATGTATCCTTCATTTATGGCGGTGTGAAACCTTACCTCTATAGTGGCGTAGGTTTCGGTGTACTGAATTCCATCAGAGACCCGGATTCGGAGCTCGTACTTGCTTTTCGTTTCCCGGTCCAATGAGTCTTTTAGAACCAGCTTTCCCGAAATGGGCTCCAAAAGGAACTTTTCGTCGTGGCCGTCCATCAGCTTGAAGGTCACCGTGCCCAGGCTGTCCGGATCATGGGCACGCAGGGTTGCGATGGTTAGGCCTATTTCCAGGTCCTCGGAAACATTGTAGAGAAACGGGGTGTCAAGGAACTGTGGTGGACTGTCGTTCTTGTCGAGAACTGTTACTCTGACCTGCGAGAACAAAGCAAATGCGATGCGTCAATGTCAGTGGCCCACTTTGGCGCGCAGAGGAGGAGGAGTAGAGGGGAGGTGGAAAACTGTCCCGCAATGGCATCGAACGGAAACCCGTTTCGAATTTGGCACTAAATGCTCCGCATATGTGCCCGGACTCTGTGGCAATGTCAATCGCATTCCTCATCTTTCGCGGCTGACCCGCTTCCTAAGTTGCTGCCCTGAGCTCGGAGCTGACTTTCTGCTTCTGCTGCTTTATGTCGAGCGAATTATGGTATAGGTTAGGCCATTTCGACCATCCCGCTCTCAAAATCTACACGAGGAAAACCGGCTCCTCCCCCTGCCCTATGTACTTGTGCTTCTGGCATTAGTTTGTTAAACTAATCTGCGAACTTAGTCTTTTCAATCTCAGCTAAACTATTCATATTTTGAGTGCAGAGTCAAAAATTGGAATTACTCCGACTGGGCCTCCAGAAATCGGTGCACGGCAAGGTGCCGACAAGGAGTTAGTGCCTTTCTAAAGCCATTAACAGTGCTCCGAGACCCTCGACGAAGTTTCAATCCCCTAATCAGACCATACTAGAACCGGGGACTCAAGCCGGAGTTGGCTCCGAGGACAAGGACCAGACCAAGAGCCATAAATATGGCTCAGAGTGACAGGGTCGCATTCACTCGTAAAATATAGCGTCGTGTGCTCCGAGACACTGATGGTGTTAAGTCGTAGCAGGCAAATACTGCATTTGTAATAGAATTTATGCAAATTTGTAACATCAGACAGCGCCTGGAGAGACTACTTAAGGCACTTTAGGTTCGGAGAGGTTCGGGTGCGGGGATGGCTCATCCTAGGAATTATCGTGTGTGGATTAATGGGCGTGTGGAGCCGGCTGTGTATGTATCAGCGGAGCACCATTTACAGTGAAATGTGTGCAGCTAATTGCATTAATTTGATCGGTGGCGGGTGCAACTGCGAAAATGCGACCATTTGTCAACCCGTTTAATGGACACTCAAGGCTCAAGAACACGCCTTTTTTATTCCCGTTTTCCGTGTTCCAGGGATCGGATTTAGGGACACTTTAGAGTGTCTAGATCGATTACTAAATTATAGTGACTTTTAATAGTTCTTTGGCGCTTTAGCTGAACAAGTTAGTTTGAGAAGAAAGTGCGGCTGGAGTGGGTCGAAAGATCTCTATAATAAACATAACTAGCATAAATGTAGTTGCTTTCTCTACATGTAGAAAAAGTCTAGTCTAGTTTTTTTTCTGTTATGGGGGCTAAAATCATGTAAGAACCACATATTTGAAGCTAGCAAATTAGCAAGAAACGAACAAAAAACCGAAATATAAGGGAACACGACAATCGTTTTAAATCAATGCAACAATGAATTGATTGAAACACTCTTCGCACGCGAGGCATACCGAGCAAAACACACTAAGCCATAGGGCTCTCCTAGCTGGGGTCCCTGGGAGAGGTGCCATCCTTGGAGTCGCGGATTCGTGCACGAAACTGGAACTGGATCTACACACATTTGCATGCGTGAATTGTTGGCATACCTACGCGTACAACGTGTGTTCCCGCCAAGGGGAAAGGGGTGAGGGCTGTAGTAGGAGGCGGGGGCAAAAGGGGACCCAGTGGAGATATGGAGAGATGGGGTGGTGAAGAGGGAGTCGCTCCCGAAGTGAAAAGAAGCTGCGAGACGGGTTTTTTGGAATTATTCTTTTCTCTACTGCTTCTCGCTTCGGACGTCGGATGCCTGAAGGAGGCCTGCAGAGTCCGAGGTCCGAGGACGCCCGCCAAGGGGCGAAGGGAGGTCGAGGTCTGACTCCCGTGAGTAGGGTAGCCGGGCATAATTAAAGGCATCTGCCAATGAAGCAACTTATTATAATTCTATCCCTGCGGCCCATTTATGCAGCGCATCGCTGCGTTGCGATGTAAAATATTTTCTCGATACACAGGTCTATCTGGTTCCTCCCCACCGATCTGGCGAGGGACTCCTCCCTGGCCGGCGAATTCATTCACCAGTTATCAGTTCTTAGGGACGAGTCCGAGGCATTCGCAGTGGCCCTGTTAATTTGCATCTCAAGGCTCCATCGCAACAACGTGCCCGTGCTCGGGGGTTCGTTGTCTGGGGGTCTTGGGAATCGGAGAGCCAAGGAACGGTGGAGCTTCGGGATGGCGTGCAATCAATATTTCATATCAGCACAAGACATTAAAAGCGCATTAGTGCGGTCTCGACTTGCACTGATAAGCCCTTGAAACTGGCCCAGAATCTTCAGCCGCGGCTGCTAAAACCCAGCTATGGCATTCTTCGTTCCGATCTCACTCAAGTGCGGAGCTGCAGAGGAATGGTGGAAAGAAAAGCCTAAAAGCTCCCGATGTAAAGCAAGCGGCTACTAACATAGTCTTCCGGAGAAAACAATCCTTGGACAGGGGATTACGATGATACGGGGATTACGGTCTTACAAGTCTGAGAGATCCCGTATAAACTTCGAAAATATTTTTTGTAAGTCATGCCTTCAATTGAAAAGACCGAACAGGTTTTGACCACATTTTCCAACTACTAACCTTCGTGCTGGACGTGCGCGGCTGTCCACCCAAGGCGATGGCATAGACTTCCACTTCGTAAATGTCCGGTCCGGCCTCGCGGTCCAGCTCCGCAGCAGTTGACAGGATTCCCAGCTTAGCATCGATGTCAAAGAGACGATCCACCTGGCCACTATAGGCTCCGCTGCCCGCTGTCACATTGGTCACGAAGTACTCGATCTCCGAGCCTGCTAGGTGAGCGCTCATGGTCAGGATACTTGTGCCAAGTGGTTCGTTTTCGTATACGGATCCGGAAAGTATGTTTTTGTTCCCAAACTGGGGAGCTTCGCTGGCTCCGAAGCCGGGCGTGATAATCGAGATATAAACCTCGGAGCTGCGACGTTCGCTCTGTACCGCCTCGTCCGTGGCCTTCAAGGTAAGTTGATAGCGCACTTGGGACTTGTATTGTGGTCGGGGGGTGAAAGTCACGATTCCCGTATTCCTATGCAGCCGGAACAGCTCCTGTTGCCCACTCACTATCTCGTACGTGACCAGGCCGTTGCTAGAAGAGTCCGCATCTCGAGCGTGTACCCGCATCACCTGATGGGGTCCCTGTTCCGTCGTTGGCAATATGGCTGCATTCATGGATACGAACACGGGTGCGTTGTCGTTGATGTCCTCCACAATCACCGTGACTAGCTTTTCCGCGTGAAGCTGGAGCACCGACGGCTGAGCGCGATCTGTGGCCACCACTGTCAGGCGAAAGGTGTCGATGGCTTCACGATCTATGTCTCTGAGCGTGTAGATCACTCCAGTCTCAGTGTTTATGCCGAAGTGCCGACCACCGGAAATCTCCGGCTCTTGCTTGCTGATGGCGTAACTCACCTTGCCATTCAGACCGGAGTCTGGATCGTCAGCGAGGACTGTCACAATTGGCGTCTTCAGTCCAATGCCCTCCTTGATCTGACGCACGATTGCAGTGCTGGGAAAAATCGGAGGATTGTCGTTGGCATCCACCACCACAACATTGTAAAGCACGGTGGTGGACAACAAGGGCGTGCCACAGTCGGAGGCCGTAATGTTGAGCGTATAGCTGGTGATGTCCTCGTAATCCAGCATCTTGTGAAGGAAGAGACTGCCAGTGGTGCTGTCAATATGGAATGTATCCCGGCGATTGCCGGCCGAAATGCTGAACACCACCTGGCTGTTGACACCCTGGTCGGCATCGCTCGCACGGAATCGCATCAACTCCGTTCCCGTGGGACTGGTTTCCAACACGGAAACTTCGCTGCTAGACTGCGTGAACTCCGGTGCATTGTCGTTCTCGTCCAATACAACAATGGTAATGGTAGTATTGGCGCTCAGTGAATCCTTTAGAGCAGCATCCTGGGCAACGACAACGAGGTGGTGGATCTCTTGGGACTCCCGGTCCAGTCGACGAGCCAACGTCAGTTGTCCCGTGGCGCCGTCGAGGCTGAACTGACCAGCCTCGTTCCCTTCGGCTAAGGAATAGTAAACGTCTCCGTTGAGGCCTTCATCTGCATCCTGCGTGAAAACGTGAGCGAGGTGAGTGCCCTCGGAGGCACCCTCGGAGATTGTTACGTGGTAAGGGGCCCGCAGGAATACCGGTGCATTGTCGTTAACGTCCGTGACGATTACCTTAACTTTGACCTTGTCACTCAGCCGAGGGCTGCCGTTGTCCGACACAGTAGCCTCCAAAATGATGTAACTTCCTTCCGTGGCGGATATTCGGCTAGCCCGCACGTCGGAGCCGCTTTCTCCTTCCGCCGTGCTCCGACTGTCGCGCACCAAGGCCTCCCGGTCGAAAGGCCGCAGCGTCTTTATGAATCCGTTTCTAATGTCGATTGTAAAGTCCTGAGTGTGGCTGGTGAGGACAAAACTCAGCTCGGCGTTCCGTCCAATGTCTCGGTCGAGAGCCGTCAGCTTACCCACAAACGTATCAGACGGAGCGTTCTCTGGTATGCTAAACGTAAATGTTGCGTTGGTGAACTGCGGTGCGTTGTCGTTTTCATCGATCACGTGGATGACCACAGGCACTTCGGAAGAGCGGGAAGGCTGTCCGGCATCTCGGCATGAAACAGTCAAAGCATAGTAGTCACGAACCTCGCGATCCAATGGAGCTTTTACAAACAAGTACCCGTCTGGGAAAATTCCGAAGACGCGCTCCCCATTTCCTTCGATAATCTCGTACGAGATTCGTCCGTTCTCGGCAGTGTCCATATCCGTGGCAGGCAGTGCGAAGAAGCGAGTGTTGACTCTTGTGCCTTCTAGCAATGAGGTCTCGTACGAGGTGTGGTCAAATACAGGCGTGTGGTCGTTCACATCCGCTATGTTAACTGAAAGACTCAGGCGACTGGAGAGGGCAGGATGGCCGGAGTCAGTGGCCATTAACTCCACAAGAAGCACCGCTCCCGGATCGGCAGCAACGGGTCTCTGCAGATAAAGCACTCCAGTGATGGGTCCAATATGGAATTGATCGTTTGGATTGTGGGTGAGATTGTAGCGGATCCGACTATTTACACCTGCATCCCGATCTCGCACTCTGGATAAATACACCTCCTGGCCTACGGCGGCATCCTCCGGCAACCAAATAGTGGGTTCCGAGTCGCGGTCCAAGGCAAAAACAGGCGCATTATCGTTTAAATCAATGACTGCGATGTTAACGCCACATGTCCCGTAGGAATAGCTTGTGCTGGACATCGATCTGGCCAAGATCGTCAGGTGGAAGTGGGTCTGCACTTCCCGGTCCAGGGCGGTGGCGGTGGAAATGGCGCCAGAGGTTGAGTCAATGGTGAAGTTTCTGTCCTTGTCTCCGTGAATTATGAGGAATTCGAGGGGAAGCAGGGAGTTTCCAGACGGGGCTTTCATCTGCACCACACCGACTTCGCGGCCCTTCTTTGCCGGTTGCTGCTCGTGATCCTCGACGAGTTGGAACTCGTAACTGCTCTTTCCATGGTCGCACTCGAGCTGCAGCACCTTGGATCCAAGAACGATTTCAACCACAGCATCGCGTTGGCTTTTCCTTTTTAATTCAAATACAAAATATAAAAATTAAGATTCTTGAAAATGTAAAAAAATTCAAAAAGTAAATATTATAACTTTCTTTAAGCAAGTTTTACTTCGACTAATTGTTAATTGTTATACTATTTATTAGTAGCAAATATAAATGTGGAATTTAATTTTAAACTGAACAAAATATAATTCGCCGCTTACCTCCCCGCTGGCTGTCCGTGGTCACGGGCCGATACAAGCAGCTTGTAGTGTGGCTTCAGGTGAGTAGCCCCCACGTCGGCGTGCAGCCTAAGGGCTCCGGAGCGAGCGTCCAATTGGAAGAGGCCCTCGCCACCTGACACCAGGCTATACTCAATTAAGGCGTTATCACCCTCGTCCCGATCTGAGGCCGTGACGTGCAGAAGGATTTTTCCCTGGCCGTCCTCATGGACGTCATTTTTGCTGTCATCCTCGAGTGTGTAGATGTAGTGCTGTGGATAAAACTCTGGATCGTTATCGTTCACATCTGCCACGTTCAGCCAGACAGTGGCAGTGGAGGACTGAGGAGTGGGTGCGCCCTGGTCGCGGGCGATCACGGAAATCTCGTAGCGCGCCGTTGTCTCACGATCTAGGAATCGCCGCGTTGTTAACTGCCCCGTTATCGCGTCGACAGCGAACTGCTGGGGGTAGAGACGCTCCACGCTAGGCGCCAGCGCGAAAGTCACCGATCCATTGGTTCCCTGGTCGTGGTCCGTCGCCGCTAGCACGGCCACCAGAGTCTGCGCCGGAGAATTTTCACTAAGGGTCACGTTCAAACGGCTTTGCGTGAACTGCGGCGCCTCGTCGTTCTCGTCCAGAATCGTCACTTTTAGTTGGGTGTAGGCGAACTTAGGGTTGGGACCACCGTCCCTCGCTGAAATGCTTAGCTCCACGCTGTCACTCACCTCCCGATCCAGTGGTCCGGCCGTCACGATCAGACCTGTGAGCGGGTCCATCGAAAACCAATTGAGCTCGTTGCCCGAAAGGATCTCGTAATGCACCTCGGCATTTACGCCTGTGTCTCCGTCAGTAGCTGTTATGGAGGTAACATAGCTGCCCTTGGAGGCCAGCTCGGTCAAAACCGCTGAGTACTCCGACTTCTCGAATACGGGCTCATGGTCGTTGACATCGTTTACGTCTATTATCAGGTGGGCGGTGGTCGTCCGCGCGGGGGTCCCCTTGTCCATGGCCACTACCGTCAGGTTGTACTTTCCTATCTCCTCGCGGTCCAGGACGCCGTTGACTCGTACTATGTGCAGACTGCCCGTTTTCTCCAGTCGAAAATGTCCCATCTCGTTGCCGGAAACAATGCGGGTAGTGGTGTTTCCATTCAAACCGTCATCGGAGTCAATCACGGATACGGCAGCCACAACGGTCCCGTTCGCGGCGTTCTCGTCCACGGTGGCCACACTACCGGTGGGCGGAAAGTACTGGAACCGAATTATAGGGTCGTGGTCGTTGGTGTCTACAAGGTTCACCGTTACGTACGCTCGGCCGTCCTGCCGCGGGGATCCGTGGTCGCGAGCAAACACCGTAAAGACGCAGGCCTTCTGACCGATGCCCTTGGCATTCGTTTGTTGCGGACAGTTTACGCGCTCCGTGTTGGAGATGACGCCCGTCTCCGGATTGACTGCGAACTGGTGCTCTGTCTCGGCCAGGTAGTAAGTGATCTTACTGTTGTCCCCCAAGTCGTTGTCGGATGCCATGACAGTAACTACTGGGGTACCCGGCAAAGCTGTCTCGTTAAGGGACACATTGTAGTCACTGTGGTCGAATATGGGCGGGTTATCGTTCACGTCCAAAATGGTAACGTTGACCTGTAGAAACCCAAACCTCGGCGGGGTTCCACCATCTCGGGCGGAAATGTTAAGCTGATAGGAGCCACGTGACTCCCGATCCAGGTTTCCTTTCGTTTCCAAGTGAAGGTACGACGTATCCCCGCTTGGATTAGTCGTCGTGGCCAGCCTAAACTTGTTGTCGACATTGCCGGCCACAATCTCGTACTGGTCCGTCACCCCGTTCTCGCCCGAATCTGCATCCGTGGCAGCGTCTAGAAGGAGACGCGTTCCGGACACGGCACTTTCGGAAAAGGAAACGGCTATGCTGGGCTCCGGGAACTCGGGCGAGTTGTCGTTGATGTCGAGTACCTTGATGCGCACCTCGATGGGGTAGGTAGGCTGCGAAGAGAGTACCACTAAGTCGTAGTGGTCGTGCATGCCTTCGCGGTCGAGCACCACATTTGTCTTCACTTCGCCGGTGACCGGGTCGAGGGTGAACTCTTCTGGCGGTTCGTTGAATCGGTAGGTGAATTTCGGTTTGGTGGGAATGAAGCCTACCGTGGTTCCTCGCGGCTGTCCCTCCAGTACGTCAAAGTCGGCACTCGTATCCACAGCACGGGATTGCATCTCTCCCGCCAATGAGGGGCTTCTGCGGCGTGGAAAGGCCGCATATTGCTCGTAAGTGGTCGCGTAGCTGCGTCCTCGGGGAGACAGGAGCTGCATTGCCGGCCTGGATTCTTCGTTCGCCCGGCCAATGCCGAGCTCTATTGCCAGCAGGAGCAGGAACAGCAGAAGCATTGGTAAGGGCTGTCCCCGGCAAAGCCTCTCCATCTCCACTGGGGCTCTTATGAGAGCGGATGGAACCCTTTTAGTAAAATTGGAACTTGGAATTTTTTTTTTCTTTCACGATTGTGTTTACTTAGCACTGTTCTTATAGAGAGCACGTTTGTTTACTTGTAGGGTACACTCTGGATGCATCCTGGAATGCATCATTTTAGTTATGTTGGTTTGTTGTTCGATTCACCAGTAGCCTGAAACAGAAACAGAAAGTGGAGTTTAGTTTTAAATATTTATATTTTTATTAGCTTAATCGAATTATAATTGTAATATTCAACTTATTTATAACTTTAAGTACGTATAACATACAACGTAATCTATGCAAATATAATTCATTCATACTGGGTAATGAAAATATACTTTCAATTAACAGCTCCATTTTACACTCCGTCGCCCACAAGATTAGCTTCACATCGGGGCACGATCTGGAGAAGTAAGAAGCGCCAAAGCGTAACGCGTAACATTTTCTAACAGCTTTTTAAAATAATTCACTTTGTTTCCAAAGTGAAGAAAGTAATTTAACACCATTAGACATTAAAAGCTTCTTGCTTTTATTTAGGAAGAAAGGAAGAGTCCGTGACTCATAAAATTTATATACATACTCTCAGAAAACAAAGGACTTAAGCAACGAACTTGAAATTTTTATTATTATAACCGGGTCAAGGAAATCGTTTTTAAAAAAGTTCTTCTAATTATTTTCGTACTCGATGACCAAGGAGGAAAGGTCTCATTTTATATACTTCTGATTTAATAAATTGTTTAACATTTGATTATATACCTATTCATTTAGTAAGACTACCTCCTAATAGGCGTATAGGAATGTCGGCATGAGCTCTTTACTGGACGGACACGGGCGTCGGACCCGTAGAATTTTTCAGAATATTGGTTGGGGTACCGATTGGCTCGGCTTAGTCCGCTGGATACCCGTACGTAAAAATGCGTCGTAAATTTCGTATTTGTTGTCCGAAGCTTTTGAAGCCGAGCCCGTTCATTAATCTTAAAAATCTACCTGCTCTAATGGTATTGTTAGCTGTCTGAGTTTTTGCTTTTTCTGTTCCTGCCCGTCTTCTCATTTCATTTTTGGGCACTATCAAAGGTTTTTGGTACTGGTGTTTGGTTTTCTTTTTTTATGGGTCCCATCTGTGATTGGTAGTTCCTCGTTTCCATAAAATTTCAATGGAATAAGAACAACCCTATATTCAATTCTTTTTTAAGCCTTATTTATATATGAATAAGATTCTTTTTAATTTGAATCTGGATGTGTCAGTTAAAGAAACTGACATAAATTGAAATAGTCGAGTACTTCGCTTAGAATGGAACAGTTTTGGTAAAGTTAACTGACCCACCTTGAACTCTCGACTGGAATTCCTATTAGAGTTGACCGTTTACGACTCTTGTTTGATGTTGACTAAATTAATGAAAGAAAAGAAATTCAATATTCTTGATTGATATATGTATCTGACTTTATCTGTCTCCTTTACACTTTCTCATACGCACCATAGACTGGTTTGGGCCATATCTGGTTTCTTCGCCATTGAAACAGCGTTTGAGTTGGCTCTATTTAATAGTTAATAAATGCCATATCTGTGTTTATACATTAGCAATGTAAATTCAAACCCACAAGCTGTGGAAGCTAGAACACAAAAAATATCAAGAAGACTTGTAATGATTGAGCAATGCCAACTTTTCCTGGGTTTCCAGAGATAAATCGAGTCAACCACATAATTCTATAGTCGGCCAGGAAACCCCTGCAGAATACGGTCTGGCCGGATTACGTGGCAGTGCGCTTCCAAATACATTCGGATTGGGCAATGGGTGACCCCAGCATCCGATACTGGCAGCACAATAACATTGCGAGTCGGGCATCCGAGGAGGGCAACCTTTACAACCACAGATTCAGATTCACAGATAGATAAAGACACAACCACGGAGGTAACCGCTGCCTACGTTACCCTTTGGTTTGTCATAATTCGAGAAGTATATATTAAGTTTTATTGGTGTATGAACGTATACTATATCCACATTCGTACTCCAAGTCGGTCATAAATGCATATCTGCATCACCATTAGCTGGTGTCAGAAAGTGATTGGCGGTCGTTATTCAATTTAGGGATAAATAGGATCTCTATGGTGCCCCATTGGCTGGTTCCTGGAATATATCCCACATTGGCTTGTCTAAAGTTTCTCTGACTGCGGCTGCGCCTGCGACCGAAGGCCTAAATGGGGCCTCAAGCCAAAAATATCTATCCAGCCCAGGTCCACGATGAATGTTTATGAGTACCTACCATTTTCTTCACATTTCTACAGGCGTTTCGGTGTTGGTGGGGCACACACAACCCGACTCCCGATGCTCTCACGGACACCGTGCTGACACAAAGGCACACACACGCGCACGGATATCAGACGCAGCATATTTTTTCTTTCAGCAAAACGTGTTTTGCTTCATTTTTCGCTCTTGTATGTGGCTTGTTGCTGCTGCTGCTGTTGCCGTTGCCGTTGCTGTCGCTTGCTTGCAACAGCAATGTTGGAATTTTTCACTTATAACAATTTTCAACGGAGACTCGCACACACACACACTGCTTCACAAACAAATAAGGCTGCACTGGGGGCAGCGAGTGGGAGCCTGCTGGAGCGCCAGCTGCTTTGATTTGCCTCCAATTGGTGACTAATTCATAAAAAAATGACACAGGGCTGGCACTTGATGACACTAGCAGGAATGCAGCAGGACTATTCTCTGGGACGCACCTTCACTTTTGTCACCCGACGGACGCACGTGCTCCTTTTCGGCGCTTAGTCGGAAGGCAGAACTCGGCCCAAACCACTCGCTCAGCGTTCGCCACGGAACTGAGCGCCTCAGAGATCCGCTGGAGAATCTCGAGGTGGAAAAAGTCGCTAGACGGGTTTGTCCCACCTGAGTCGGGGGAGCGTCTCGGCCGCGATCCGTCTCTCCCTCTCTGGGAGAGATCTCTGGAATCTCTCACACGGCTCTACCTGTTGTGGCTACAGCACATTTTTCACTTGTTGCAGTTTCGTTTTTCATTTTCTTGTTCGCGGCGCTCTCCGAGCAGAGAGAGGTCCAGTAGTCCGGTCCAGTCTGACGAGATTCAATGGCCACCGGCAACCCATACACAGCTAAAAAAACAAGTCGAGGAGCTATAGAGGAATGTGTCGTCTGCAGATATACCTGGTATTTGAGGTATATCCACCAGGCTGAAAAAATATGTATACCTATCAAATAGAAAACCTCAAAATGGATTTAGGATTGCCTAGCAAGCAGGCGCATTCCGCCATTCGTTAGTGCTACAGGTATATCTAAATGAAAAGATATTGGCATGAAAAAAATTAAACCTTATAAAGTTCACAAGCAATCTCTCGTATAAGGCATGAAATATACCTCAACGCTGTCTGGGGGTACTGGGTATAGTTATTTCTCCGCTGCGGACCGGATAGCTCTCTGTTTGTGGCTTTTTGTTTGGTTACATCCCTGGTTACTCATAAAAGAATAAGACTTGGAGAGTCTTGGGCAGCGGCGTAGGATTTTGTTTAGCATAGAAACTGGTTTCAAATTAAAATTATCGCTGGTCATTTTTCTTATGGTTAGTTGGCGTTTACTTTGCCCTGTTCCGTTGTGTTGGTGCCTCATTTTTTGTTTTCTTCTTGTCTTGGTTTTCTGGAATTTTGGTGTTTGGGACCTGCCTTTTACTTCCCTTTGCTGTCCCCGAATGTTGCTGCTGTAGCTTTAGATGTTTCTGGCGATGGTGACGACGATGCTGCTGGTGTGAACTAGCTGGGTCTCCGTCTCTCCTCCACCTACCGGCTCCCACTCAAGCCTGTACCATCTACCATTGGCCTCTACCCTATAACGCGAATGTGATTTGGTCCAGGACATGTAGAATCGCCTCGACTGGGTCTGAATTTAAATGAACTGATTTTACATAATAGTAAAATAAATATATCAAGTCTCCGGCTCTCCAACGGTATTTCTTAAGCTCTAATGCTTAAAGAAGACCTGGCCCAAAGTGGAAAAAGGATAGGACTATTTCAGGCCAGAAACTCCTCCATCGTCGTTCCAAAGAAAGGTCTCATCCGACAAATGTACGGAGAGTTTAGAAATTGAATCTTCAAAGGTAATCCCGCTTTCGGACTGGAGATTCTAGTGCGGTGATATAGGCTTCGTGGTGGCCATAAGGCATTTTCAAATTTCAAAAGGGTGCTCATTTTTAGTTTGACATTAGTTTTACAGACATCTCTGAGGACATTTCTTAAAATAAGAATGATTCAATATGATTTTACAGGCTTTAACTTTGATCCAATCAATTTTTTTATGAAGTATGTATATTAATTTTCGTATATCAGAAATGATGATTTTGATTTTTTATGAAACCAAGTTAAATCAATGGCCAATCAAGAAATTAATGATTTTGATTTTTTATTAAACCAAATGTATATCAATTGTATTCATTGTATCTGCCAGTTTTCAACAAACCTTAAATGGTTAACAGAGGATTACAGAGTTGATATTAAAAATTTCAATTGACTTTAAATCATTCCTTATACAATTCCTTGACTCCCATAGAGAACTTATTTTTGGTTAACATCATAGTTCTATCTTTGGCATAGAATGCAAAGTAGAGGATGGAGGTAGGCTTTCGTTTAAAGAAAAGTTGTATTTATTTTGGCATTACAATCAATAGGGCATTAATGAAACTAAGAAAATTAAGGTAATAGGTAAATAAAAGGTAATAATCACAAATACACCGTAGCCCGTAAACGTTATTGCATTTCTCTCGTTCACAAGTACACGACTTTGTAAACAGTAATTGCTTTATATCACCAGTTAACTACTTATGCTTCCCTACTCTATTCCATTCCCTCCATCGATTCACTTCTATCACAAAATAATGAAAACAGTTTCCGTTTCCATCTCCGTTGCTCCCCACTACTTTCTCCACTTCCCTTCTATTGCTGGTTCAAAGGTCCTCTTTGGAATGTGTATTCTGGATTCGGTTGTAAGGTAGTTAATACCAAAAGCGACAAAAGGATAAACTTCCCATTCTCGGATAAAGATGAACTGAGTGTAAAACACAGGGACGGACGTTGAAGAACGTTGGGAGAAAATTATTTTCAGATTTTGGCTTTGGCTCCAATTGTTGTATGTACTCTGAGGAGTAAGTACTCCGAAGTTTTCTACGTTTTTTTAAGTGTTTCAGCCTAGTTAGTTCAGACTCTTCTGCTTGGTCACAAGAATTATATCTTAATCGATGCAGGAGTATGTGGGTGTGATTGCGACTGTGTGTGACGGTGTTTCTGTGTCTATTTCTAGATTTACATGTAGACCTATGTAACTTCTATTATTTATCTATTATACGCAGAACAGCTTAATGTGGCCATAATTTAGAATCCTTGATACACGTACATAAGTATTTTTGTGATGTTTGGTATGTGGGGAGAGCTACTTAGTATAGCGGCTAAAACTATGCAAAATTTTCAACTCTGCCGATCAGTAATTGTAAATGTCTATCCTATTTATCTCCTGGAGTTCGTTCTATATACAGGTGATCTAACACAAGGGATACATTATAGCCTAGATTATCGACAAATCCAATCGCTTAGCGAATCATGTGCAGTTTCCAACGCAGCACGAAATAAGCAATGATCCGCAGGGCGAAGAAGATTCCAACCAGCGCCACGGCGTCCACCCAGAACAGGGCGTTGTCCATGGACATCTCCTCGAGAAACTTTTTGGGTGAGCGGTAGTGGCAGTAGATCTGGTTGCATTGCAGTTTTTCTCGATCCATGCCGTATATGGCCACCATAGCACCTGCGAAAATGCAATTAGAATGAAAGGCCGACTTATTATCCCAGTGTAGCATACCCTCAAAGCCGTAACGGACGTAGCTGACGTAGGTGACCCATTGCAAGTACCCGGGGATTGTGTCAAAGTTCACGAAGAATCCCGAAAACAGTATCGTGGGTATCGTGGTAACAGGCCCGAGGAAGACACCAGTTTCGATGTTCATCCCCGCCCCGATCAGCAGCCCCAGCGACTGCGCCACTAGTGAGTTGAGCACGCATATAAGCACAAACATCGACACCCGTTCCAATTCCATCGGCTGCGAGGTGAGATAGTAGACCACTAGAACATAGACGCTGGAGAAGACGATCTGAAAGGTCAAAAAGCAGACGGTTATTATGTGTTTGAGGGTACTGGGTCCAGGGGCTTACCTGAAAGGGCATGTCCGCTATGGTCTTGGCAAAGTAAAATGCCTTCAGGGAGTACCAATAGTTGAGATGCTCGCGTACAAACACGGACATTTCAGTGGGAACTGCAATATATAAGATAAAATTAGAGGCAGTAGAAAAAATAATTTCAACAGATGTACTCACAAGTAAGGATGGTAGGCATCATCGCCGTAAACGTAGTGAACAGGGATACAAAGAATATGCACCCAGCGTTGCTCATGATCTTGCTGGCCTCACCACCCACATCGTAGTAGATCATCCCGATAATGGCGCCCACGATGACATGCGAGAAGAGCCGCATGTGGGTCAGCATCCTGTCGCGCAGAATAGTACGGAAGGATCGCTTAAGGAGAATCCAGAACTGCGTCCAGCTACTTGTCGGAAAGCCCGTCTTGTTGGGGAGCGTCACCACACTCTCGTGAGAGTCCAGCAATGAGGTCATGCATCCCACAACGCCACTGGGTCTACCCGATCCGGATCCCACTGCATTCTGAGTGCCTTTGGAGGAGCTAAAGCTGCAGCTGTCGTCCAGGGCGGTTGTGGGCATGTTTATGACGCTGCAGTCCGAATTCTGCGACTGCTGCGTCTCAAGCTTCGGTGGTTTAAGCTCCGCTGGATCATCCAGGGGCGTCGGTTCGGGTTGCCTGTCTTCCAAAGAAGGCTTTTCATCTTCCATCGTGAATGTAGCCAAAGTCGCGGTTACAGGCCCACTTTCGCTGCCCTTTGCAATATCGTTTATCGTTGACTTCTTTTGAGTCAGAGACTGAAGATAGTCCTTGTGAGTGTACTTTTTACAGGCTCCGCTCTTAACCGCCTCCACCAGTTTGGGTACGGCGTCGCCGTACTCACCCGACGCCACTTCCAAGACGTAATCCGCGGGGTTGTGGTACGAGGGGCACTCGTATCCCAAGGACGATAGATAGGGCACTAACCCCCTAACCCTTCCTTCGTAGACACACTGGCCCTGGGCCAGCAGATACAAGTGGTCGAACTTTTCAAAAAGGCGCGCCGATGGCTGGTGGATGGTGCAGACTATTGTCCTGCCTCCCCTGGCAAGCGACCTCAGGAGCGAAATGAGCTGGAAGCAGGTGGAGCTGTCGAGGCCGGAGGTGGGCTCGTCGAAGAACATCACGGGAGGATTATTAACTAGCTCCAGGGCAATGGACAAACGCTTTCGCTGGCCGCCGGATAAGTTGCAGGTTAAGGTATTGACCGACTCCTTCAGCCCAATGGTTTCCAAGATCTCCTCAACCACCATCACCTTGGCGTAACTGATCATGTTCTTTCCCAACTTAAGATTGGCGGCGACCATCATGGCCTCGCGGACAGTCAAGTTGGCGATAAGGACATCGTCCTGCATAATGTAGCAGGAGAGCTTACGAAAACGGCGCAAGTTCCGCTCCTTGCTGTTTATCATCACCGATCCACTGAGATGGGCAGTTCTGGAAAATCACGTTTGGTAACTGAATTCTGATGAGTTTTGAATAGCGCTCTTGATACTTACTTGTATCCGGCAAGGATATTCATCAGTGTGCTCTTGCCGGCTCCAGAGGGTCCCATGATTGCCGTGATCTCGCCGTTTCGGAATTTTCCCGACACGCTTTTTAGGATCGTCTTGAAGCCTCGCCGATGGCCATCAGCGACTGAGTAGGATATATTGCAGAACTCGATGTCCACCGGCGGGCGCTGGGGCAGATGGGAGAGAGCTATGGTGCCCTTTTTCTGACCGTTGGGGCTGCCGCTGCACCCGCTGGCGCTGACCACCATGGGCAGAGGGCGGTTGTCTGGGCTTTTCGTCGCTGGGCCGCCATTACAAAGATTATTCTGGGACCTAAAAGAAGGGCAGAGTATTTGAAGAAGTTCGATAGAGAAGCCAAACTATTTTTGAGAGTCCTACTTAAACCGGCAAGTTGCTCCATTCTCTGACTTTTGCAGTGAGCTGACGCAGCCGTTTTTCGTCAGCTGGGTCTGCACAAAGGACAAGGAGCAATCGCACCGGGCTCCGTGTCCGGCATCTGGCAAAACTTCCGTTGTCGCCTCCGCATAATGGGACCTCCAGCGACTGATCCCCTTACTAACTTCTACGTTCACCTGGGAGACGGTTTTCTCGAAGCTAGAGTTTTGGACGCCCCCACTCTCCGCGCTGAAGCTTCGCTGTAGTATCTGCTCCATAGTAATTTTTATCTGCAACGCGTGATCAGCTTCCCAACGACCTGTATTTTCAATCAATCGATCAGTTAGCCGCGTTAGGCGGCTAGCCGCTCAATCTCCCCTTCGTGCAAAGCTCAATTGCTCCCATTGAGAATGTCATCACTCATGTGCAACACGCTAGCCACCAGATGGCTCCCACATCCCCGGTGTAAGGGTCGGTGTTCTTTGTCTAATTCGAGCAATGTCACTCAACGATGCGCCGACAGCACCTTTATAGATACCGCATGTCGAATGCTCAGAACGGCATTAATTCCATTCTAGAATTGGGTTCTGGAGGTCGATTTATCTATAGGCCTCCACACTTTTTCAATGAACTATAGTAATTGGGCAATCAGTGCAGCTGTACTAGGACACCCTATTATTTAAAACCAATATAATACCAACTTTTGGAGTTACTGGTAGTGCCTTCTTCCGGCAAAGAAAACTCGCAGTAGCTCTGGCCAGATATACACAAAATCAGCTGTTGGGAGGTACGACACACTCCCATAAACAATTTCAGCGTCATCACAGTTGTTTCTGTTTCGCTTCGATTTGTTGGGTTCCCTTGTTTGCCAAGACCCCCGCCGATCGACCAGACCCACTCCCCACCAACCGCCCCTCGTCGAGCGGTAAGCCAGCTGGGGTTTTATCCGCACTCACGACGAACGAGTATAGATATGGGGCTGTATCTGTGTGAGTTCTGCGAATCGTGTCCCGCGAACAGTCGAGTGCTCGTGCACCGAGAGCGGGTACATTTTCAGTGCGCATGCACCCAAAGTGCATGTTAACGAACCCAATATCGCAACTGAACGGGCTGAAGACTGCCAGCTTGCCTTGCGAAATGCACTCAGAACAAAGATGCAGGCAAAATAGAAATAGTAATGGAACGCGGATTAAGGGGGTCCCACCCCCTTTCCAGGCCCCATTTCATCCGCCTTGTCAGCGGAAGGCTTATGCAAAATTTGCTTTCGAGTTTCTTCACCTAGTACTATTCAAATAAAGTCACGCGACCCTTCCGGAACTTCGTTGCCGTTTTGGAGCTTATCACTTCTAATGCCTGGTTATTGTTGCCAGGTTAGAGGAATCGATTGCGAACTACTTAATTGATTAATTGGCGGTCATAAAGAGCAGCTGCTTCTGTTTAAAATCTACTAGGTATATACGCAAGTTTATCGCCAGTATCCTTCAGCTATAAATTCCGAACTTAATATGCTCGGATCTCTGAAAAGACTCGAGGCCAGTCACACTGATTAAGCGCCGCCGGAAATATTAGTCGGATGGCTTGGCATTAGATCATCCGAGCTCAACGACAATTAAGCGATTACACCCCAAAAACCAGTGAGGGGGTATGTATGAAGACCAGTATTAATAAACGCCGAGCTGATGGATAGTTATGTGTTGCAGATAAGACAGGAGGAACGGCTTGCAAGTTAGATGTTAGAACTGCCCTAAAACACGGTTATATGAAAGGTGACCCAAAAAAGGTGGGAATGGGTCGGAAATTAGTAAGAACCATTCCACCTACTATTTATGTATGGGGCACTTCATGGAGGCGGCATAGAGAGTCAATAAGCCTTTAGTCCTAGACCGTTTTAAGAGTGAACGTAGGCGAGAAGGTGCTAGGAAGCAGGTCCTTTAGTTCCTGCTCTCCGTAGCATCTCTGACATCAGCCTACACGGGGGCCGTTTAGGGTTGCCGAGCCGTAAGTCACTTTTCCACTCGCGTTTTCGCATGCAGGCACTTAGCATTGCATAACCACCGTACCCGTCGGGTTGTCGGCCAAAAAGTACACACGTAAATATAGACCACGTGCCGCACAGAAGAGATTTTCTCACTAGAGTCTATATTCCGCCCCCGTCTCCGTCTTCCTGTGTCAATTGTGCGACAATTCTTTAAAAATGTCCCACTATATTATATATTAAGCGAAAGGACGCGACCGGTGCGCCCCGCAGAAGTGACTGCCACGACCCGCTCACACAGGACTAAGGCCCGAAGCTAACCGGAGTCCAATTGCTGACTGAGAACAACTTCAGAAAGCTTGGCGCCAGTTCGATTTTTTCAGGCACGCGGCGCCGCAATGTTTTTAACCCCTGTTCGCCTAGGACCTCTCTATTCAGTCCAGATTTAATTGCATTGCGGCCTGCACAGATATTAATTCTATTGTTCGATTTGAAATTGAATTGGAAATTTAATTAACTCTAACCACAGTGAAAAGTGCGATGGAATCCTGTAAGGAATGGGCTAAAATGTGTATATTTTCATTTTAACGAAAGGAAGTCTAAAGCCATAGCTCAATGTTAGAGAATAAATTAAATTATTCCAACAACCTTTATAATTATGGGCCATATTCGTGTGGAAGGGGAAACTTTCTAGGCCGACACGCGATTGGGGAGACGGAGGAGCGTTATCGATTTTTTGCTGCTTTCTTCAGCTCGTTCTCCTGCTCCACATCCTTGTTCTTCCTATCTTACTTTTACGCCACACCTTGCTGTGAAGGCATAGCAGGTGACACATGTCCCAGCGAACAGACGCTATGAACAGATTACGTCTATTTTTGACTTGACACTACATATATTTATACCTTTCCAGTTCCCCCAGATTTGTTTTTTTAGTCTGCCGAAAAGGATCTGTGGGGGCCGTTTGAAGGAAAGTGTGAGCCCACCAGTGTCCCCAATACCTCCTGCCGATAGCAGAGCGAGGGATTTCCCGGAAACCCAATCCTAATCCAAACTAATGCAATTACTGTACCCTCGTCGGATTGGAAACTCACCCGTGGTTGCTTTTTTTGAGGTCGTCGGTCAGCTTCAGCTGGTTTAACAGTGGTACTGCCCCCTTATTGGGACTTGGACTGGAGGCGACGGGATTAGCCGATCCTGGAGACAGGCTAGGCTGCATGTTTCGGCCAGCCATGAAGAGCACGGAGTTCGGTACCGTGGAGACAGTCGAATCTGCTACTTTGTTGGGGCTCCTGGTCGACAAGATGACGGCTTGGGAGGAGCACTTCTCCACCAGCGGGACACTGGAGGCCTGCAAGTCGTCCATTTTGTTATGTAGTTTACTTATTAGATAAGGGTGCAGTTGGCATATGACAGTATTTGGCTCAATTAATTGATTTTTCCGCTGGGAAAGTGTCGTTAAATACAATCACAATTAGCAACTGCGTTTGGTTTTGGCTCAGTTCAGACCTGCAATAAAAGGGGAAACTGATGTAGTTGAATTAAAGGCATTAACACCTAAGGAGTAATATAACTATTAGTTAATGATTGCTACTACTACTTGTAGGACCTCGTAACAATGCGATCTGAGTTTGCCTGCACTGGGCCGAGGCGCAGGTGGCCGGCTAAGATAAGATTTGCGCGTTTACTGTTTAACGATGAGTATTCAGACATAGTCATACACTGTCGAAAATAGGTTTATTGTTCTGCTTATTGACTCAGTGGATTTGGCTTTCTTCTTAAAGGTATATGTTGATAAAACGTGACCATTACCATTCAGTAGTCCAAAGTGTGGCTCTTATCAGGCCCTTATAGTAGCGTATAGACGATTTAGGGTTTCCTAACACATTAATATATTGGGTTTTATTTACGGACGATGAACATGTGCATATAGTGAATATGAGAACTAGCTGCTCGTTTTTACAGTGTACTCGGGTATTTATTACAGATTTGTTTGCGGCTTAATTTACGATTAGATCTTGGCGATAAGCTTCCTGCCGATGGCTTCCTTTCCCTAATCGGGCTAGAAGCTGTAAGGCGCGTAATCGAACATTGCGGGTAATGGCAAGGCTACTACGACCACGACCACGGCTCCGGCGGCCCCTTCAGCTGTTGTCGGCCATCGACTTCTTATCACCGCAAGAAAACCACTTGGCCCTGCTACCACGCACAGCTGCGGATTGTCTAATCTGGAAAGCAATTAGCCGGACGACGGCGTCGCACCAAACTGGAGTTCTTCAAATCGAATTGGTGGTATTGGTTGGGGAATGCACGGCCCACCTATTGTGGGTGGATGACCTGCGAGGGTGGCTGGACCAAAATTGAAGTAGGTCAGTATGGCGAATACTGACTTCCCTCTGCCAGGCAATTTTGGCTAATTTGCCACAAGTTTTTAATCGCGAGGTGGTTGGACAGCACGACTATACACATTGGTTCCTCAAACATATCATATGTTTATACAAATCGGCGTTCGAGAAAATAAATAGAAAATCTACACTCCGAGCGATGAGAGCGCAGGCGCTCTCTCAGATATACGACGAAAACATTAAAGATACACATGAGATGGCCCTCAGAAATGTGGGCAGTTTGGGGCGGGAGTACGGGGGTCTGCTGGTCGTCTATGGTATATTCTTAAGGCTCCAGCTGGGGACGTATTACAGGAGCAACTGCACCTTCAAGGTGAACAGCGCAATTTCCAAATCCGAGTTCGAATCCGTTTCCGATTCGTGCTCACCTTTGAATTTCTGCAGTTTCCTCCGAGAAAAGCACAAGGCATTAGCAGTAGCAGCAGCAACGTGTTATTTTGGGATTATTTTCATTGTTTCATTTGGCCACTGTCAGAGACAGTCCGCTGTTCCGCTTTGGCTTCCACTCGCACACCTGGCGCGTCCACACTAAACACACTAAACCTTTGGCACTCAGACAGAGACTTTGGGCCGCACTCCCGTTCTGCTGGGTCTGCTTCTTTGTTATGGTACAAGCATCAAACAAACAAACAACGCCAGCTATTCAAATGCGCCACAAGGGCGATTGTACTGGAAAAGTAAATAGGCCGCTGGAGAGTAGCGACGCGCACTTCACCACAAAAGTATATTCTCTTCCGCGAGCTTCCAGGAGGAGCAAAACGTGTTCTTTTAAACAGAGCGATCCGATCCGTGGGCCTGCGGAACGTTGCGTTCTCCGATTTATTTCTTGCCCCCAACACAAGGGGCAACGAGCGATGGCAGCGCGAGCGATGAAGAAATTGAATTGAAATCCGTACTGCGGAGCTGCTGCTGCTAAGCTACCCAGCTACGAGCCAGCTGAAACGCTCTGCTCTCCCGTTCTCTGTCTTGTATCTGTATCTGTGAGATACGCGCGCTACTACTTGGCCGTTTCGTCAATGGGGAAGTCGCATTACTCTCCTCTCCCTTTGTGCAACGTCCGATTCATGTTCATGTTGGCACACAGATACGCAGATACACGGGCACACAGATACGGATGGAGAAGTTGTGCGCATGTGTCGTGGTATGCGTCGGCGTTCTGCCGCTGCCAAACAGCTGGCTCTGAACAAACGACCCTGTGGGAAATCCGGTGCGAGTTCGGTTTGTCTGCACTGCGATTTGGGGGGTACGATCTCCCAAGAGCTAATACATATAAAGTGTAGATCTGCCAAAATTCAAATTTCACTTATATGGCTCGTCCTATTAATTTCTACATTAAACACTAGGTACTTTAACAGGGTATGACATCGAGCTTTGAACCGCTCCATCAGTCTCAGAACAAAGCGACTAATGTTGACTAATGTGAACTGAAAACAAAAACAATCGCCACTTCCCCGCCCGATTCTTAATGTCAGAGGGCGAAGTCCGCAGGCAGAGCTATCAGCACAGCATGAGTAACACCCCCTCGCCTCAAATGATTACAGCTCCTCAGCCTACAGACTCGTATATTTTCATTACAATTCCATTCAGGGGTTCCTGCAAAATATCACAGATGCAGCTTTTCTTGGGTGCAATTGAATAACTGAAACTTTGAGTGCATTGCCAATCAAAACTAAATAGCCAATCCGGCACACGTGCTGGGTGCATCCAGGTGTTTTCCAAACTAAAAATCTTGATCGCTTTGTTTATAGGTTCCTATTTTGGTTGTCTTTAAGTACATCGTACCCTGGCGGAATGCATTTAATTTGGCACTCAATAAAGTAGCGCCATCCCGCCCAATGCCTAACAGATGTACATAACTGCCTGTAACTGACAAAAGCTTAAACTTGAGCTTTAAAACTGGTATAAAACTCGAATAACCGCCTGCCTTGGCTTCGCACCTAATAAATTATTGTCAAGAAATATTGTGAATGAAAAAACTATCTACAAGCTATTTTAAATATTGCACTCTAGGGTCCAGTCAGCCCTAGCTGCTGCACACCCAATGCATTTTCCCAATTTCGGCAGAGACTTTACCATTAAATTTAACAATAAAGCTTCGAAAATTATGATCCAATGTTTAAATGCAGATTTATGAAGAATCATTTTACGATTTTTTATAGATATTCCACTCATGGATTAAATAAGTCTTAGCAACCATATAGAATTCACTGGTGTTGCACCCCATTCCTCTTCCCAATTTTTGCAGAGGGTCCAACAGAAAATTTAAAAAAATCTTAAAAAATCTTAAAAATCTTAAAAATCTTTAAATCTGAATTTAAAATTTTTAAAAATCTGTCACAAATTATGATTCCAGGTTTAAATGCGGATTGGTGCAGAATCGTTTTCCGATTCTTGTAAGATATTTTGCACAAGGATAAAATACGTTTTGGCAAAGATAAGGCCTTCGAAGAGGGCTATATTTGTACACCCAATGCCTTTCCCCAATTTCGGCAGAAGCTTCTTTCAGAAAATAAGACAAAAAATCTATTAAAAATGATGTGCTATGATTTCAGATACTTATGTGCAGATTAAAAGAAGATTGCAGAAGAATCCATTCAAGGTATTCGGTTTAGTTTGTTTTATTTTAGTCTTGCATTTGATTATTTTAGATTTACAGTTAATCGATTTTATGGTACATACAACCGCTAGACGTATATTAAAAGTCAAGTTAATGCGGAATCGAACTGCACTTCCCTGCCCTACATGCTGTGCATTTGGCTCTTAAAAACTCCATTGGATCCGTATCATTCCCTATGAGGTTTATCGAATCTTTATGCTCTGTTGATCGCGATCCTGCTCATCGCTATCGCAATCACCGCTCTCAGCAGTGTCCTCGTCCGGGTCTCCTGCGGAGCTACCCCGGACGAACATATGTCGTAGGCAACTCCGCTTCACGTATAAAAAAGCGCACAGAGCACAGAGCAGGAATATCACCCCAACGGATGAACCGATGATGAGGGCTCGCACCTTTCTTTGGGAGGGAACGTCGATGACGAGCTCATGGCTGGGTACAGCCTGCTGATTGTTAGTGCCCACCGCCAGCACCTGTACCTTGAAGGTGGTGTCCTCCTTGAGGTGGCGCAGTTGGTAGAAGTTGTCGAAGGTCTCTGCGTGACCGATAAGGAAGTGCTCGGGCTCCTTCCACCAGCGCACAGCATACAGTCGGAGACTTTCGAGGCCCTGCGTGGGATGCTCCCAGTGGAGTAGCCATCCTTGCTGGTTGCTCACAGCCGTAATGTTCCAAGGAGCCCCTAATCCTCCAGCTGCCGCCGAGGTGGGTATTTGGCCAAGCTCGTGCTGGAGTTGTTGGGCATCAAAGTCATCCGCTCTGATTGGGGAAGCTGAAAATTATGTGTTTAATTGTGCCTTTTGAATCAAAATATAATTAGTTACGTTGAGTCTGGAAGCGAATCTGCTTGCTGAACATTCCATCACCATATTTGTCCTGACTAAGCACCATGAACTCATACTCCTTTCCCGGGATCAGGTTCTGTACTGTGGCCTCCATAACGTTCTTGTCCACCACCCGTATCGTTCGCCACTCAGGAGTTTCGGTCAGTCGGTACCATACAGTATACTCCAGGTTAGGGCGGAGGTATCCTAAAAATATTTGAAAAAATTATAAAATAATTGGACCTACAATAAAACTTAACTTACTTCATGGAAATTGAAAAAACAAACAATAAAATATAATTTTTTAACTAAAAAGCTTGTTTTGTTTTTAATTTAAAATATTTTGCAGTGACCGGTCTATATTCCTTACCTGGTTGCCAACGAATCGTTATGCAGGTCTCCGTGCTGTTGGCGGTGAGATTGTGGGGAGGTCGCGGAGCAATGTTCTCTATCATAAGCTCGGCTTCCGCAGTAATGGTGGCGGCCTCGTTGGTTGCCGAGCACTCGTACATACCGCGGTCCGACTCCATCAGACCCGAAATTGTCAGGTTGCCTCCGTTGAGGCTGAACCTGCCCGCTGGCAGCGGCTGGCCGTCTTTCTGCAAATTAGTCGGTTGCGATGTCAGGTGCATGCATAATTCAAAGGGCAATCAAGTGAAACTGCACTCGGCCCTTCCACCAAAAGCCATTTTGGATACATCCCGTACCCATACTACTTCTCTCAGCCAATTCCACATTTGCCATTGTCTTTTGAAACTTTAAAAATGGCACTGGCACTCCTTCAGCAGACTTACCCGGTTCCAGACAATGGAGGGCCGATTGTTTCCGTCCCGGTCGATGGCTTCGCAGGGCAACTCGGCCGCCTCACCCAATTTCTGGATGTAGATGGCCTTGGGAGTGACGCTGAATATGGGTGGCCGGAGAACAATCACACTGATGATTGGACTTGGTCCGTCTGTTCCGAGATCGTTGTAGGGCGTACATGTGTAACTGCCGGCATGGTTCTCATCCACCTTTGCAAAAAACAAACTCCCGTTCATCTTGTAGAATACACCTGGCACATTGTAAGAATCGAAGAGTAACCCATCTTTTTCCCAGCGCAAGTTCTTCAGCGGCGGATTGGCCCGGAAGTGGCAGTCGAGTACAGCAGGCTGACCATACGGGAGGAAGATCTCTGGAGGGGCGTAAATGACTTTTGCCTTATCTGTTTTGAGGAGAGAATACCGATTAAAATTTTGTTCTCCGCACAAAATTTAGGTACTCCGCTTGGGAATCGGATGAGAATTGGGGAAGATATAGCCATCACCGTGGACACTATAGGGGAAACCCGCATTTTCAAGGGATCCCATCACGAAAAATGGACAAAAAATCTAAAAAATATTTTGTCTCAGGATTTTGATGCAGAATGGTGGAGAATCGATCCAGAAATCGTTTAAAACACTCCGCTTAAGAATCGGATGAGAATTGGGGAAGATATAGCCATCGCAGTGGGCCCTATAGGGGAAAACCCCATTTGCAGGGATCCCATCAGGAAAAATGGACAAAAAATTGAAAAAATATTTTGTCTCAGGATTTTGATGCAGAATGGTGGAGAATCGATCCAGAAATCGTTTAAAACACTCCGCTTAAGAATCGGATGAGAATTGGGGAAGATATAGCCATCGCAGTGGGCCCTATAGGGGAAAACCCCATTTCCAGGGATCCCATCAGGAAAAATGGACAAAAAATTGAAAAAATATTTTGTCTCAGGATTTTGATGCAGAATGGTGGAGAATCGATCCAGAAATCGTTTAAAACACTCCGCTTAAGAATCGGATGAGAATTGGAGAAGATATAGCCATCGCAGTGGGCCCTATAGGGGAAAACCCCATTTGCAGGGATCCCATCAGGAAAAATGGACAAAAAATTGAAAAAATATTTTGTCTCAGGATTTTGATGCAGAATGGTGGAGAATCGATCCAGAAATCGTTTAAAACACTCCGCTTAAGAATCGGATGAGAATTGGAGAAGATATAGCCATCGCAGTGGGCCCTATAGGGGAAAACCCCATTTGCAGGGATCCCATTAGAAAAAATGGACAAAAAATTGAAAAAATATTTTGTCTCAGGATTTTGATGCAGAATGGTGGAGAATCGATCCAGAAATCGTTTAAAACACTCCGCTTAAGAATCGGATGAGAATTGGGGAAGATATAGCCATCGCAGTGGGCCCTATAGGGGAAAACCCCATTTCCAGGGATCCCATCAGGAAAAATGGACAAAAAATTGAAAAAATATTTTGTCTCAGGATTTTGATGCAGAATGGTGGAGAATCGATCCAGAAATCGTTTAAAACACTCCGCTTAAGAATCGGATGAGAATTGGAGAAGATATAGCCATCGCAGTGGGCCCTATAGGGGAAAACCCCATTTCCAGGGATCCCATCAGGAAAAATGGACAAAAAATTGAAAAAATATTTTGTCTCAGGATTTTGAT